CTTTTGAGGTAGCGGTCCCTGTCCCTCATTCAGAAGCCGAGACAATCTACTCTCCATTACCACGCTAGAAGAGTGGTAGAAAGCTTTGCAACGAGTGCCGGAGATGTCAACCGTGGAGGGCTTTTCCAACTGAGTACGGTTTCTCCAGACATCCGAACTCAGCAAGCCGACTGGAATGTTTCTCTCTTCGCGTGTTTCTGCGGCACGTGCACGAATTCCACGAACAGTTTCAAGTCGTTCGGTGACGCTTTGCTTACACCTGCGGCCTTCGGAAGCAGACCGCTCCAACGCCAGTACCCTGGACCAGTCAATCAGATACCGGGCTCAGGATAATACACAGCTCGGCCTCTGTACCAATGGGATCTCAGCCGACAGTCCAAGCCTCTTACGAGTACGAGGGGCAATGAGAGAGGATTCAGCATGTCCCTGACGATCACTAAGGCATCTCTATACACCTTGTCTTGGAGAAATAATGTATGGCACATGCGTGAGCTGCCACCCCCGGGTACATCACATACCCTGCCGACACTGGGATCACATGCCTCGGAGAAGACTCGTCTATTGCTATATATGGCGCCTGCGGAATTCGGCCTCCATCCCATGGCGGCATGCACCAAGTCAAGGTGCCACCCTGTCGGATGTGCAGAAGATTTTTTTTTGGCCCGCATTGAATCACTCCACTGCTGCGTGAGGTGAAGTCTAGACTCTCTGCCCATCAAGCTGACACCTATCAGAACGTACTGGTACTGGCCTAGCGAGCATTTCGGCCTCTTCAGCACGGAGTACATGCAGAAGAAAGCCAACTCGCGACCCAGACTGACACGGGATCTGCCGGGTTGAGGGGGGCCTCACAGCGACCTCGGAAGATGCCGAATATTGTTCCAAGAGACCGGAGATAATCCGAGTCAATACTGTAGGCCCGAGCATGCTGACAATGTCGGCCCTTTTTCGTCCGCAGGAAAGACTTGAAGCAAATGGTGAAGAGCGGATAAAGGTCGGGCTCACGTGTGAGGTACGATGGGTCGACGAAGCTTGTCCCTCCACGCAGTGACAATTGAGTGGTTCAAAGATCCTTTCCAATGTATAGGGTGTTCCCTACGTCTAAGGTGCAGCTGGACCTTTCCTTCATATCAATGAGCAGGGTTCACAGGGGAAAAGCTCTGCCTTCGAAATGATGAGCAAGGCGCAGAGAGCAGAGAGCTGCTCCGTCCCCTCTCAACGGTAGGCTCAAGGTCAGACATAAGATCAATTCTGACCTTGAAACATGGGTCCTCCTCGACGACCTGACCGTCGAGTCAACCACATTTGGCGGCGGTACAGCTGCGCTACATGTCGCCCATCGCTCCTACCGCTGGACAAGACCCTGCACGGCATAAACCAGGACACCGTCTCTTTGCTCTGTTGTATGTTCACTCTCGACAGCGCGCGGTTTTGTGCCCAACCTTCATGGGGAGCTCTGACAATGACTTGATGCCGCGACGGATTCCGCATCCATCCATGGTAACCGGTAGGTGAGACTGATTTTCCGGGTCCAGCATATGTGACGATTCGAAGTAGGCTGCGGGAGGACGGGATTTACACGTCTATACTGGTCTTACATCTATGTACCTAAACGGCGGCCTGCGATAAACATCTAGCTATATATTATGTATAGATCCGTCCGTGTCTGTCCAGGACTCGCCCACACCTCAAAACTCGCCAGCGACGAGGGAAGAGTCGACACCCCGGCCATGCAAGCCCCGTCTATCAACAGCAAAGAGGATCCTGCCCAGCGCAGTCCACAGATCTAGACATCTGCCTTGACTTCTCCCTCCTTCTCCTTCCGCTTCTTGCCTTCGACGATGAGCCCCTGCTCCGTCTCCAGGCCGACGTTCAGATCGTATCCCTTGATGAACAGACTGGCCGCGAGGCAAACGCCGGCCAGCGCAGTCATGACGATATACACCGTCCGCAAACTATCCGTGTACGCGGTCCTCAGCTGCAACTTGCCGAGCCCGGACTCGGTGTTCTTGATGATCTCCACCAGGGCGGCCGCGTCCTTGGCCAGCTCGCTGGCCTGGCCCGCATAGGCAGGGTAAGCCTTGAGATTGGCGACCATTTCGTTCTGGAAGATGACCCCGCCAATGGCCACGCCCAGAGCCTGGCCGAACGAGCGGAAGAAGACGAACATGGCGACGGCAAAGGCCATGTCCTTGTTCTGGCTCGCGGCCTGGACCTGGAACTGTAGGCCCGGGAACAAGATGCCCAGGCCGATGCCCGAGACCAGGTCGATGAAGATCCACGCCGGGATCGCCGTGTCCACTTTCAGCAGGACGAGGAGGCCCAGGCCGAGTGTCGAGATGGCCCACCCGGACCAGATCGCCCAGCGGTACGAGGCGAATTTCGTGATGGTCAGGCCCGTGACCACGGCCATGGGCGCCACGGTGAATGTTGCCGGGAAGAGCGCCACGCCCGAAATGACTGGCTTGTACCCCTTGACGGCCTCGAAGTACAACGGCTGGTAGTACAGCAGGCACCAGAGGATCATGCCGTGGATCGTCGTCGTCACGTACCCGAGGTTGACGGTCCGGTTGCCAAACACGGCGAGGCGAAGTAAGGGCTCAGGCGCGACATAGGCCTCGTAGAAACAGAATGCAATCAGCCCCACGGCGCCGACGAGGAGTGGGACGAGCGTCCGCCACGACGACCAGCTGTACATGACGCCGCCCCAGGTCAGCGGGATCAGAAAGCTCGTCATGCTCCCCACGAAGATGACGGTGCCGATCCAGTCGACGCGACGGAGTTTGGCGGCGATGCTTTGCGGGATGACGTTGAGGCGGAGGAATAGGGGCACCATGACCGCGCCGATGCCGATGAACGGCAAGTTGAGCCAGAAGATCCAGCGCCATTGCACCGCGGCAAAGGCGCCGCCGATGACGGGGCCGGAAACGCTGCCGATCGACCACATGGCCGCAATGATGCCGGCCCATTGGCCTCGGTATCGGAGCGGGACGAGGTCTGTGACCACGATCTCGGTCATGACTATGATACCTGCATAATGTCAGTAGTCCGGTCAGATGTGTTTGGCACTGGTCATGGAGAACAGGAGGGAGGAGCCGAAGAAGCACTTACCACCACCACCAATCCCCTGGATACTCCTCCCCGCCAACAAGACGCCAAAGTCGTTGGCCAGGGCTGCCATCATGACGCCCACGAAGAAGAAGGCAATGCTCACCATGATGACGGGCATGCGCCCAAAGATATGGCTGAAGCTCGCAAAGTTGGGTTGGAAGACCGTGGATGCCAGCAGGAAGGATGTGCCGGCCCAGAAGGCCTCAATGGCTGTGCCGTGGAGTGTCCTCGCGATGATGGGAAGGGCCACGCTGATCGAGGTCCCGTCTAACGCGACCATGAGCGTCAAGACCGCAAGGGCGGCGAAGGCCATGATGAAGCGTGTTGAGATTGTGAATTCCGTGGCTGGTCCGGCCGAGTCATCTTTTTCCCCGACTCTGGCTTCTTGGGAGGTGATGGATGAGGACGAAGAGGTTGTCTGCGATGGTTGAGCAGCGCTGCCGGATTGTGGTTCTCTTGTTACAGCAGCCACGGGAGGCGTCGTGTCCGTCGTAGGAGCGGACATGGTAGACGTCCGGAGCGAAAGGCTCAAGTTAAGAGAGGCTCGGGTCGACAGAGAACGGTGACCTCAATATCTGCGACGGTGCTCTATTCAACAATAGTCGTGGTGAATGCGGCTCGGGATACAGCGGTAATGTTATCAAAGGACAAAGAATCCAGCAAGTCGACTTTGGAGGTGGACTCTCTTTGTTGGGTGAGTGGGATGCAGTAGACCGAGCCAAAGGGTATCATGATATGTATACCTACCCTTTGGATGCTTCCGAAGGTTCACATCGCGACGTTTGTCATCGTCAATCATGCTGCCTGAATTTCGGACGACAAAGCAAGAGTCTATCCGGTGCAGCGAAGCCATCTCGAACCAATGCAACCCGTCAACGAGGCTGAAATGAAGGGAGCAGAGACAGCGGACTGATTGGCTGAATGGTTCGTAATGTGGCTCGAGTGGGCGGTCGACTGGCCGGCGGGGGAATATCAGGCCGTTTCTTTACCGTGCCAGCGAACGCGCCCCTCATGTCTGCGCGCGATAATTATCGCGCTGCTCTGGTCAAAGTAATAGCCATGGCGTCAACTCAATGACACCATCGGGATACTCGGAGGCGAGTACGGGGTACTTCCTTGATCTATAGACGATCGTGAGTGAGAGATATCGAGAAACGTGGCTGGCTTGGGCCCGCTCTCGGAACGAAGTGACTCGAGCCCAACTTGCGTGTTGCTCGCATGAATCATCCCTGATCGCCTTGTATAGTTGCATTACTGCCAGAGAGATACGAGAAACGAGACACGGGGCGACGCCGGGCTCGAGCCTGTCAACCACGTCGACGTTTGACATTTCCGATAGAATGAACGCTGCACGCTTTCGACCCAAGTCTCTTGAATTGCACTTCTCGCTGTGCAAATTGGCGTAGGAGCACAAGCACACAAGGCTTCGCATCGCGAGCAATAGCGTATTCGTATTCTCGCTAATCCAAAGCCTGGGACTGTGGAAAAATGCTCAAACCGCCGTGATTCATCGTTGCCGGCAGGTTGAAAAGCGGGTTTGAGGTTACAGTAACGTGCGTTACAGCCAGCGGAGGGATTGTTCCCCCGATCCGCACGTGACGCCGAGATCCAGTCTCCCAGCACACCCTGTAACTCTGCACAACGAGGATCGCTATATCTTACACAGAGTTGGTGGCTAGCATGTGGTTCTCGGATTGATAAGCTACTGTGGATCCTTCGGGGGGACCAACTCCGCCAGAAGAAGCGTGCATCTCACAGTATCCAGACCCGCTGATCTCAAACACCTCGTCAGGGCCAACTTCGCGCTGCAGAGCGCTTCAACTTTCGCATATTGACCACAGGATACTGAGTCCTGGCACGGTGGATGGCGTCGGCAACCACTGAGAGCATCATGCTGGCGTGGCCCCGAAATCTGCACCAAGCCCGAAGCCAAACGTTGCTGGGTTGGAGCTTCGACCGCGCCAGTTCTTCCGGGCATCTATCTTTGGGCTTGGGGGTGCTGCTTCAGCGGCGGCATCCGACTGCTTCTTTGTCACAGCCTCGGGTTCTTTATCTGTCACGTCGACAAATGCCGCACCGTTCTTATGGCTTCCCTTCCGCTTCTTGGTATCTGAAGCCTGGGAATCGCTCACATGCGCGTCGTTAGACTCCGTTATGTGGATCGGCTGCTGCGTGGGATCCGGGACTCTCCGACTGAAGAGCCCCGCGACGCGCATCGGCGACTGCGTCGGGTCGTCGATGGTATTGCTTGAGAAGCACATGGTCAATCAAGGAACGTGCCAGAGAGCGACAGGGTATGGCTGGACGATGTTTGAGGCTTCCGACGAGGTAAAAGTCGATGAAACAGCTGTAGAGGGAACGCGATCTCGTTAACATTCACATTGTTAGCTCATCAGGCGTGCGACAGACGAGGGATAAGGCTGTTGGAAATGAGTGTGCCCTCCTGCTGTAGGGGTCACTGGTAAGTAGCACGACTCTGTAAATAGCACACCCGAATACGAGGCTACTTTAGCGGCAGATGATGACGATCAAGAGGAATGCGGGGGTGAGTCATGTGCTTGAAACTTATGAGCAGCAAGGCATCCTACGGTCTCGAAGACAACCAGTTGGGTGCCAGTTAAAGATAGAAATGAACGGGCGATTTGGGTGATACGATTGAGGCAACGATGAGGAACACGTGAATGGCTCTGGAAAGGCGGGAGCCCTTGACCTTGACCCCTCTGTGACTCCATTCACACTTCAGTGACTTCGCCCTCACTTCACCGTTACTACCTATTCATATACTTCGTATTTACCTTGGGAGATCAATGAGATCATTTTTACCCATGCTTGCCTTTCTACCTTGTTGCTTTGCCGACACGGCCCGCCCTTGTGCCGTGTGCTCAAGATGCCGGTCGCTGTTGAACCATTACTGTGGTGATCGCTACCAACTGCTAACTAGATCAGGAGCCGGCGAATAGCGGTCACGCAATATAGAGAACCGAGTGTGCTGCTTACCGAGGTCTTCCCTGGAGAAGCCGACAGAACCCCCTTCCAAGCTCTGCACCAAATCGGATGGCTGTCTCCCTCTTGCACCGAGATGCGCAAGTGAGCCAGCAAGCTCGCCATGATAACCTCGGGTAAGCTCGCTGGCCTCCAAAGACCTAGCATCTATTGGGGTCTTGTCGCAGCATGGCTACTTGGCGCAAGCCAGTCTCTGGAATCTCTCGGATGTCTTCCAGATACTCCGTCCATGTCAATGTTAGCAAGCGTTCCGCGAGTCTGTTGTCCTTTTTATCACTGTGAAGCATGGATCCTCCATGCATGACAAGTCCGTTCTGCCCACTGGGGCCGGACGAGAGCATCACGATACCGATGCTGATGACCAAGTACAACCCGGATAGCGTGCCGGCAGACAAACTTGTCCATGTCGATACTATTGCGAACAAGAGCCTCACGTATGGCGGTCTTCGTGAGGAAGCCGCCAGGTGTGCGTGGGGGTTGAAGCATAACCTGGGCATGAAAGAACAGGACAGGCTGCTCGTCCTCGTCCCGAACTCGGTAAGCTTGCGACGTCGAGTAGAAGCCTGTGCTCATGTACCTGCCCACTTGCAGACCGACTTTGTCATTCTGGCTCATGCGACACTCTGGCTGGGGGCTGTCTTTTCGTAGGTATGTCCACCACGTCGGGAGGAGAGGAGAATCCTGATCAGCGCCTGTGGCGCAAATAGACCTCTCAATCCGGCGTCGCTAGCCAAAGATATCGCTCACGCCCTTTCACTGGTTCGTCCCAGCCATGTTGCAATCTATCCCAGCAAGCTGGAGGCTCTCAATACAGCACTCCAGCAGCTCGACTGGGAGGCAACAGCGCGCCCAAAAATCTTCACGGTCCTTGACAGATCTGCAGGTCTTGCTCTCGTAGGCACAGATTCCCAATCCCGACCCGGTGTTGAGACTAATGGACTCAAGTTCCCTGACGACATCGCAGGCCAAACGGCTGAAGACCGGCTCCCAATTTTTGAGCTTGCGGGCAGGAGCGCCAAAAGCCTGACAGCTATGATTGTGTTCTCGTCCGGGACGACCGGAATGATAAAGGGCGTCCAGTTGTCACATTACAACATTGTATCAAATTTGATACAGACGCGCATATCGATGCCCTCCCTGTCAAATCACGCCTCTCGGGAAGTTTTCTTTCCTCCTTGTAAGCTGAACCTGCCTGATATAGCGTTCACCCGCCTGGTTCTAACAAGGCTTACACAGACTGTCATGTCTATGGACTTGGCGTCGTGGTGCTTTGCGGCATGTGGTTTGGGTCATTTACTTGTGCCATCCCGGCATTCGACTTGGACCTCTACTGCCGCAAAATGGCTGAACACAAAGCAACCTGGGCCCACATAGTACCTCCTGTCGCCATTGCACTGGCCAGCTCGAACGTAGCCGCCCAGTACGACCTGTCATCACTGAAGCTCATTCTCATTTCCGCCGCCCCGACAAAAAGAGATCTGCAGATGAAGTTGAAGGCGAGGTTTGGATCAGACACGAAGATCATACAAGGTGGGTAGGCAGTCAGCTGCCCACTACCATATCCAGCTGACCCCGACAGGATACGGCATGTCAGAATGCAGCCCGACGGTACTCCTGCAGAGTCCCATGGACGATGAGAACAACATCGGAACCGCCGGAAAGCCGGTGGCCGGAACGTAGGTCTACGCCTCCTTTTTTTCGAATGCTCTGTCCCAGGTGGGACTACTGCTTGTGCTCATGCAATCGTAAACACAGTGAACTCCGACTCGTCGACCCGGTGACGCTCAAAGACGTTGCACCCGGTGAAGAAGGCGAACTTTGGGTGAAAGGCCCGCAGACAATGATGTGAGTCCCACGTACCAGCTCAACAGCCCCCCCGGGTCCTCATAGCGGCGCAGGGGATACTACAAGAACGAAGAGGCCACGCGACAGACATATGTTGGCGACTGGCTCCGGACCGGCGACATCATGCGCGTCGATGAAAATGGCAACTTCTGGGTCACCGACCGGTTGAAAGAGGTATGTATAAACACTGTGCCACTGCTGAAAAAGACACCCAGCTAACGTTAACCGGGCGCACCAGTTGATCAAATACAAAGGGTAAGTACATAGCCTAGCTGCAATCCGCACGCGGTTCCTAATTAATGCCTTTCTAGCTTTCAAGTCCCGCCCTCGGAACTCGAGGACCTTCTCCTCAAACACCCGTCGGTTGTCGACGCGGCCGTCACGTCAATCTACTCGGACGAGCAAGCCACCGAGCTACCGATAGCATACGTGACACTGCCGCCCGCGACACCCGCGGCCCGGAAACAGCAGCTTCTGGATGAAATCCGGACGTGGGCAGATCGACAGGTTGCAGGTTACAAGAAGCTGCGGGGCGGCGTGTTTGAGCTGAGTCCCTTGCCCAAAACGCCGAGTGGGAAGATTTTGAGGAGGGAGCTGCCGTGCAAGAAGAAGGAGGCTGAGGGGAGGAGGGCTGCGAAGCTGTGACACGTCGTGTGAATTTCCAGGATTACGAATTATGTGTATATAGTCCTGGAGAGCATATTGGAGTAAAGAAGCGAGATGAGAGAGACAGATAGAATAGCGGGATGTTCAAGTTTTCAGCGTCGAAGGTTCAAGTATTGAGCGTCCAATGTTCATGTTTTGATTGAGCTTCGATCTTCGATTGTGACTATCTGATTCTAACTCCGGCTCCTGCCCAAGGTTGAACCCCGTGTCTACTTACTGTAGCACTACTGTGCATGCGACTAGATGGGCGAGTCGGCATGACCATCGGCCACAGCTCCGACCCTCATGAAGACGACATCAACTTCCTCGCCTCGCCTGACTTGTAACTTGACGGAAATATCTTCCCCCCCGGCAGCACCCTTGATCTCGGCAGTGTCCCCGAGTCTTCCATTGACATAGACGGCCCAAGTCCCCTGGGGGAGCTGCTTCGCCACCGGCTCACAGGTCACCTGTCGAGAAGGGCACAGACTACGGCCGTCAAAGTCCCACCCCTTGACGGTGAGGACGAGGGCGTGGTTGTCCGCGTCCCAGACGGCGCGAAGGACACCCACGCCGTGCTGCGGCGACGCGAAATCCAAACCGTCCACGTAGGGCGTGCGGGCCAGGTGTTCGCGCGTCCACGGGTGGGCGTACATGGTGCGTTGGCCGTCTTTGACGTTCAGCCGACTGTACGCGATGGCGGCGTTGCCACAGAACGGGGACACGTGGGTCCATTTCACGCCGTCGGCGGCGGCGGCGGCGGCGGCGGCGGCATCTTCGTCCCCGGTGGTGAAGACGAAGGGCGTGTCGTTGCGTGGGTAGTACAGCCCGCCGTTCTCCCATGTCGGGTGGAGTTCCGCGTCGGCATACGCCAGGAGGCCGTCGAGCAGGTCTGTTTGGCCGAGCTCGGAGAGCCATTGCGTGACGTAGCCGAACGAGGGCTTCGTGTAGGGGAAGGGCGGCGCGGGGCCCGATGCGATGTCGGCCTTTGCGAGGGCGATGGCCTGTGACAGCTTTTCTGCGTCGGGGGTCGATGGCGATCGTGCCGCCAGTTGGCGGTAGTGGTTGGCTATGATGGGCGGCTGGAGACGCACACGGCCGTCGATGGTTGTGACGAACCCGGTGATCTGTTTGGGGTAGAGACTCGTTACGAGGTCGTGGTTCCAGGCGTTCATGAAGGTGCCGGCCCTGGGTTGTGCGTCAGGCCGTGCCGGGTCAAGGAGGTCATGTCGAGCTCGTAGATAAAACTTACCATGCCGTCCAGCCAATGTCTTGAGGAGGGACGATGAAATCCTGCTTGACCATCCACATGTCGACGAAGAGGCCGTCCGCGGAGACCATGCCTTTCTTGTCCCACGCGGCTTTGTACTTGGTGAGGATCTCGTCGACTTTGTTGGTGCCGTCTCGAGAGTCGTTGTATCTCATGGCGATGATCTAGCTTGATGTCAGTTCCGTGGTGGAGGTGGTCACTACGCTGGCGGGGAGACGTACCGGGAACTGATTACACACGACAAATACTACGTTTGGCTCACAGCAGACGCCCACCCAGCCGTTTCTCTCCATCTCCCTCGTGATGGCGGCCTGGAGGCTGCGGTTGTCATAGGAAAAGGTTTCGTCGCCCAGGCCATAGAAGAGGGGGTCCCACTTGAACACAATGGACTCGGGCTTCTCGAACTCGTCGTCGTCAAAGAGCATGGCGTAGAGACTCGTCATCAGCAAAAGATGACCGCTGTACATGATGTTCTCCCTCACGACAGGGTCGGCCCATGGCTCCCGCAGTTTCTGCAGACTGGGATCGGTGCGGACGCCACCGAGACTAGTCGCGAACCAGTATGCCCAGACCTCTCGTCGGAGCATCTTGTGAATCAGCTGGCGCAGCAGTGGCTTGAAGATGGAGCGCGCTGCAGGTAAGCGGTGGTAGTGAGCGACTCCCGTGGCATAAGCCATCGTGGCCAGCTGGTACCGGTAGGCATCGAGGAACTCCTGAAGAGGCTCCTGGGCACCCATCTTGCTCCATTCTCCATCAGGCTGGAATGCGAGGTTGTGGAAGTGACGCAGGTGGCCGACTTGGGCGGGAGATAGCTTGGGATACTTAGACAAGTCAAGAGGCAGCGTCTCGGGCGGAGGTTGTGCAGTTGATCGAACCATCTTCGCGGAATGGATCTGTCCACAGACCGCCGGGAAGCGTATGTATCATGTACAGCGTATGGCGTGAAGATGATAGAGGTCTTGGATCGCGCTCCGGTCGGAGGATATGTATACTTACAGTATACTGGGGCACGATGGGTTCAGGCCGCCGACGCGAGCAGGAAAAGAGCTCTGAAGAAGGTCGATCTGCCTTTTCAGGCGACCTGATGGTAATACATAGCCACTGCCTGGGAACCGTCAGTCCCGCCCCGGGCACCACCAGAGCGAGGACGGGCCGTGTAGCGGTTGACTTTCGTCTGCCGTCCGCCTCGAGATGCCTAAGACCAAGAGCTGCAGCATCGTGATCAACGCCGAGGCCACGAAACTTATAGCCGAAGACTCGGAGTCGCTAAGTAGTCGCAGTATGAAGAGAACGGACGGCTATTACGGCGTCTCCAAGTAGACAAGATGTTGATTTGGACCAAGGTGTACTCGTACTGGGGTATACATAGTGAGCCCTGGGAGCCTGATGCGCTCCAATTCACCTGCTTACGGAGGACACACCACTGTACGGAGTACCCCTGTAGATATCTCAGGTGACAGGCACACTGAAGTGATTGGCTGCGTAGATGCATCCCTTGGGCAATCACAAGTCTCCAGCTCGCGTGGCGTAACGTCGATTGGAGGAACATCAGACTGAAATCTTGCTCGTCAGATGCCTTGCTACGTACAGTATCTGACGCTTCTCCGCTGCGACAATCCCGCCGCTGCGCTGTCATAAAGCTGCTTCAAGCAAGAGTGACTGCATCCTCGATGAAAGGTGAGTTTGAGGCCATTAGCCGCACTGAGAGTGGACATCGATGACGGTCTGTTCAAGGCTCGAAAATTCATTTTCAATTCCACTGTGCTCGCCGTCATGCAATTCCCGCAATCATTCTCTTGGACCTGTATCTCATCGCTGAGAGGCACCATCTCTCCCCATTCCCCTTGCTGTCCTTTCTTTCATTACGCCTATGCATATTTCTACTCGTTCTGTTCCTCTTCGATGCTAGCCCGAATCGAGCCAGGAATCCCAGTCCTGTGATACGAGCTACGAGTCCTCCGTAATCTGGGGACCACAACATGAGAATCTCGGCGATCTTAAGGCTCAAGGGTCTGGACCGTCGCCGACGTCATCATCCGCCGCGCGCACCACACGCCCAAACCACCGTCGTCGCCTGCATTTGTTGCTAACCGACGAAAGACATTCAATCTCGAGTTGCAACCACCGCGGACCAGTTCCTCTTACCACCTCGCGACCAACGCAGCGGTGGTACTTCAGGAAATGGTTGTCGGCGATGCGGAAGCTGCACATAGACCACTGAATGCAAACGGGATTGTGCGCCCCGTTCGTCCAGCGCAGCCGAGAACCTCGTCGCTTCCCATCAGTCACGGAGGTCGACAGCATGTCAAACCTCCCCCTGCCGATGGCTACCACACCCACGCCCACGTCTCTCCCCTCCCCGTGGCGGCCGAAGTCGCCCTGGCCGCGCTGGTGACCCTTCCGACACCGATCCTCGTACTCTCCTCTTCGAAGACCGTCCTCCTAGCCAATGCAGCAGTGAGCAGGCTACTAGGAATCGATGAGGAGGATGTCGATGGTGGCGCCACGGACACACTCAGAGGCCAGACACTGTCCCAGTTGGGTATAGACATGGTGTCGGATGGCGTTCCCATCTGGGTCAGTTGGGAAAGATTCCTCGACAACGTAGCGGACAGCCACGACCAGGTGGCTGTTGGACAACCTTTATCAGATATTCGAAGCGAAAAGACATCTCCCACCACCATGGGGGATGGAGACGCGGAGAGGGGTAGGCTGCCTTTCAGGACCGGGGCTCATAAGTCTCAGGATACCGTGGTCGACGTGGTAATCTCTAATCGCCACGATCAAGTGCCTCCACGTCTGCGCCGAAGCCGACAGAACAAGCACGGATCACGTATCCAAGCAACGTGCCGAATGATCATCAGCCTATGGCATCTCGAGGACCAACGATTCTTTACGTTGACATTTACAAGTTCAGCCAGCCCTTCCTCTGACCGTACATCCTCCGCCTCGTCTTTACGAAACGTGTCCTCCCATTCCACGAGATCCTCACAGTCGTCCCAGGGGCAAACGCCGGTATCATCTACCATGGACCCGGATGTCACCTCTCCTGCACCTTTAGATCAGGAAGGAAGCCTTTCGTTTCCTTCAATTGCTCCTCCTCCGAAATGTACTGCTCCGTCCACCTTCACAGATTTCCAGAAGGTTTTAAAGATGAAGAATGCCATGCTGCGCGCCGTTGACATTCCACTGGTCGCTATGTGGAGGGACGAGAGTGTCGTGTTCCCGAATACCGCAGCTCGGAAACTGCTCGAAGTCAACACCGACCCCGTCTCTGAACACTCGTATGATTTTATGTCCAGACTCCGCCCGTGGACTCCGGATTTCTCCAGAGAACTCGGTGAGGCCGCTAACCCCATCGTGGCACTGTGTCGCAACCAGCAAGCTTTTACAAACTGGCAGGTAGGGTTACTGAACGAAAAGACTGGGAAAAGGTCCAATTTCGAGGTAAGCGGGCATCCTGTCTACGACGAGCGGTCCGGAGATTTCTTGGCTGGCATGGTCGCGTTCAAAGATATTACCGAATACACAGAACAGCTTGCCCATCAAACTGCAGAAAACGAGGAGCAGTTTCGCTTGATCTGTGACATGATGCCGCAAATGATATTCACCACAACACCCGAGGGCCTCGTTACCTACTGGTCGCAACGATGGTACGATTATACTGGCCTCAGCGCGACAGATTCCTTGGGCCTCGGATGGCAATTGCCGTTCCATGTGGAAGACATGCCGGACACAACCCGTAGGTGGCAACATGCGCTGGCTACCGGAGAGGAGTACACCACTGAATACCGTTGCAAGAGGGTTGACGGCCAATGGAGGTGGATGCTGGGGAGAGCTTTGCCTATGCGAGATCACAAGACCGGCAACATCCTCAAGTGGTTTGGCACCTGCACAGATATCCAAGATATTGTGGATGCCAAAGTCAGCGGTCAGAGAGCTCGACAGCAATTGCTGGACGTGCTGAAACACTCGCAGATGACCATGTGGATCATTGATCGAGAACGGACGGTGACGTTCTATGAAGGAGATTTCATCATGGGCGACCCTGTTCATGACAGAATCATTGGTTCGCAGGTTCTTGACGTGGTGGGAGACTACCTTGCGCCGCAGGACATCGTCAAGTTCGAAGAGGCCCTTGCCCGGCTGATGTCAGGCCTGTCTGACCTGGAGATCCTTGAGAACGAAGCTAATGCCCGATGGTTCCGCTCCACAATGGTGCCTATGAAAGGCAAGACGGGCCCTAAGGGGGTGGAAGATGAGAACTACATCGCTGGAGTCATTGTGATCGTATCCGACGTCACTGGGTTGCGGCGCAAAGAGCAGGAAAATATCAAGCTGCTCGCTAACGAGGCTGCAGCAAAAGAGGCCAGCAAGATGAAGAGTAGTTTTCTTGCCAATATGTCCCATGAAATCCGGACACCAATTGCTGGCGTCTTGGGCATGAGCGAGTTGCTGATGGACACGAACCTCGATGCCGAACAGAGCGAGTTTGCGCAGAACATCCAGAGGTCGGCCAATTCTCTTCTGACCGTCATCAACGACATTCTGGACTTTTCCAAGATCGAATCCGGCCGGCTGGACATTGAAGAAGTGCAATTCAGTCTGGGGGTGGTTCTCCGGGATGTCGCAAAGATGCTCTCGTTCGCAGCCCAGCGGAAAGGGCTGCAGTTCAGCAGCGATATTCAACTTGGACCTTCTGAAGACCTCATCTTGCTCGGCGACCCCGGACGCATTCGGCAAATCTTGGTCAATCTCCTGACAAACAGTATCAAATTCACGTCGGAAGGATACGTCAGACTGAGGGCGGACATCCTTAGTCAGACCTCTGACACGGTGACGGTGGAGTTCTGTGTGGAGGACAGCGGTATTGGGATCGAGGAAGAGGTCAAGAAGAGGTTGTTCCGACCCTTCAGTCAAGCCGACTCGAGCACTGCTAGACGGTTTGGTGGTACCGGCCTTGGATTGACGATAAGCAAAAACCTCGTCGATCTGATGCACGGGACTATTCGCCTCGAGTCCAAACTCGATGCCGGTACCAGAGCTACGTTCACAATCCCTCTGAAAATGCCCGAATATCCAGTGGGTTCTCCAACGGCATTCCTCGAGGTCGGCAGCATGCCTGACCGCCTCCAATCCGACCTGTCTATGTCAATACCAGATTCCCCAAGGCCTGAGAGTCGAAGATTTGAAAGGGGAGCTTCGCCACTTCAGTCGGTAGCAGACACAAATGCGAATGACATTCGCCGTGTAGGTGTTTCATCGCAGCCAGCAACGCAGAGCATGGAACCGGAACTTCCCAGAGACCAGATCCATGTTCTGGTCGTTGAAGGTAGATATGTACTACAGAATCTAGGATGAGGCAGTGCTAACTTCCGCCAGACAATCCTGTCAATCAGCAAATTGCGTTGCGATTCATCCAAGCTCTAAAGTTTTCGGTGAAGGCCGTGTGGAACGGCAAGGAGGCGTTGGAATACCTTCTGAAAGCAACCTCTCCAGACCTGTCACCAGAACAGGCCAAGGAATATCCCGTCCCATCGCTGATACTCATGGATGTGCAAATGCCAGTTCTGGATGGTTATCATGCTACGCATATGTTGCGACATCATGCTCCATTCAAGGACATCCAGGCCATTCCACACATTCCTATTGTGGCAATGACGGCCTCGGCAATCCAGGGAGATCGTGAGAAATGTGAGAAGGCAGGAATGGACGACTACATGGCTAAGCCGGTGAAGCGATCCCTTCTGGAGAAGACGATCCTGAAGTGGGTGTCACGGGGGCGCACCATTCAAGAGCGGCAGAAGTTGTCGGTGAATGGCACAGATTCCAAGAAGCCAAACCTGGGAAGGGCTTGCACCGATCATTCGTCAATCTGCGCACGAAACGACGCGATTGCCAGCGAGTTTTGTGCCCGTAATGGCAGCCACGACACGCAGGCGGACGCGGACGAGCTTAACGCACCATTGCCATCAGGAGAGTCAGAGGATGTTGCCGGGCGAGCGGTGGCACGCCGATCGGGTATTTCCAGGGCTCTCCTCGAGTCTGAGATTCCTGGTGGTGAGACAGAGGCGGATCGCGCAGCGAGACGTGCCGCGGCCGAGGATCAAGCTCGAGCGTTACGAGACGCAAAGTTGCTCTCAGCAACAGATATGGCTCACGGAAACTCTCACATTACCCCTGTACTGAGAGTCGACAATGACTATGCACCTGATCTCCAGGCGCCCGATAGACAGGCGAGCGAATCCACGGCTGGTGCTTCCCCTATGGCGTTGACGGAAGAGAACGTGTTGCTACTCAATGCCACACAAGACGGTGTTATTCCACCAACAGGGACGTCTTCCCCCGGCCCTGAATCACAGGGATATACTTATCCCCTGTTGGACATACCCGGCCCGCCGCCCGAGGGCACTCTCTCTGCCATCGACCTGGCGCATATCGATGCCGATGCAGAAGCCTTGGTCTCTTCGATCCTCGAAAAAACACGCGTTCCTGGCAGCTCAACAGGAAGCAGGACGACTTCTGATAGTTTGGAACCAAAGGCGCCTCGCAACCGTCGCGATGTTGGCGGACTTGGACCCGGAAGCCGGCACGTCAGCGATTGGAGCTCGAGTACAGCCCGGCCCGAGAAGTCCCATTGAGAGCAATCAACGGCGAAGGTTTGCAAAAGTTTTGTATTACAGGCATAGAGGATGTGACCACGGCGTTGTAGGTAAATGACCCACACGACACGATTCCCTAGAGGGCCAGGTTACCAGTCAGGTTGGAAACTCAGTAGCCTCGGGAAACAAAGAGAGCGATAGGAGAGACAGATATAGAGGATGCGATGAAAACAATAATGACATCCCTCTTTAAGCACAGTATCTGTATCAGGGGACCGGTTGCGGGGGAAGCATGTGACATGTGAATTGAGAAATACAGTCTGGGCCTAAAAGCGGCAATAAGGACCGTGCCAAAGGGGTGGAAGCGTCAACCAAGTGCGTCATCGGTTACAGAAGAAAGGGCAGGCACTTGCAGGCGCCTAGTGAGCAAGAGGGGCCGCAGTCACTGACCGGTCACCGCTGCCTGACAATGGGTTCATCCATACACAAGATCACACTTGGCTGCTGATTAGGCTGTTGCAAGCGAAGCTGTCGCTAGCTGCAGGCTGCCACGGCATGATCACTTAGCTGCAGGCAGATCTGTGGTCCCGCGCCCAGCAAGAGTGATCAAGTAGTGAAGCGTCATGCTGTAACGGGCCGCTGCTCTTTACATCGCAACCAGGCTTCAGGCTGCATGCCTTGTGAAACCCAGCCTCATCTTCAAGTGAAAACAAAGCCGCAAAAGGACTGCCTACCATACGATGCCTCTTTCTGCCATCGCTTCGCCGACATTGACTTCTATTCCGTGTCTTGTTCATGAGCCACAACTCCAGCCTACCCAACGTCTGCTGCATGCCAGCTCACTTTCACGCCCACCATGTCCAATCAGACCATCTTGAGGATTTCAAGAGTAAGAGACTGTCGCCGGCAGGCTGCCCGGAGAGCTGCTAACGCGAGGCAGGAGATCACGCAGATCCAGCAAGGCAGTGACTTGTGTAAGTTCAACCCCAGGGCAGAGTATACGGGCATGCAACTGACTGTGCCCCCGCAGCCATCGCCGTCGCATGCCAGGAGAAAGACGTACGCCATGTCCGAGCCCTGATCATCGGTCCTCACGGGTCACCGTACGAGTACGGCTTCTTCGAATTCAGCGTCAACTTCGGCTCGGAATACCCCAGTAAACCTCCCAAAGTCGAGGCCAAAACCACGAATGGAGGACGCACACGGTTCAACCCCAATATCTATGCTGGTGGGAAGGTCTGCTTGTCGATCTTAGGAACGTGGCACGGCGAGAGGCCGGGTGAAGAGTGGTCTTCCGCACAAGGGCTAGAGTCGATCTTGTGGTCCATCCAGAGTCTGATGTCCAACAACCCGTACGAGAACGAGCCTGGGTATGAGAATGCCAAAGGAACGGAGGACAAGAAAATGAACGATTTATATTGTGCAAAGGTATGCATCTCTTCGGCGAAGACCGAGGAGCCCGGGTTGACTGGTAGTAGATCCGTCATGAGACGCTTCGTATTGCGGTCATTCAAAAGCTCGAAGAGGCGCTAGGGATCCAGCCTGACGGCTCAGTGGCCCTTCCCGCGGCCTCGCTACGGTGGTCTTCAGACGAGGACGACGAGGAACAAAGCCCAGGTCTTCTTGAGACGCAGCCGAAGCTGAAATTCGCGCCCTTCAAGGACCTCTTCAAACGGAGATTTATGTGGTACTTCGAACACTACATGTCGACGATCGAGCAGTATAGTTCCAAGAACAAGGATGGCACCGACTTCACCAAGATGCCTTTCGAAGGCGGCGGCAACACCATGGATGGCAAGTTCAAGTACGCCGAGCTGGGCAAGCGGCTGGTGAGGATAAAGGAAGTCATCCGCGACGAGACCAACAACTGGGCTGTTGAGGGACTCGCCATGAAGAACAGGGAATCTTCAAAGGCGGCAACCATTCAACGACAGTTTGAACAGCTGGCAGACTATTTGCAGCGGAAAAATCTACACAACGTCAATGTCGAACTGGACAAGTGCAACCCTTTCGTCTGGATCCTGACCTACTTGGGCAGGCCCGGTACACACTTGGATGGCGGAATCTTCAAGGTCAGAATTTCGATAAGTCCCCGATTTCCCGACGAGCAGCCTCGAGTGCGAGTGGAGACGGCGATATATCATCACAGGGTGTCGAAGGATGGTGTGCTGTGCTATTTCCCAAAGGAATCCGACATGCTGAGGAATCACGTCGAGTGCATTGTTGAGGCGCTGGAGGAGGAGTCGCCTCCGTACGACCCGAGAACGATTGTGCACCCGGAGGCGACCAAGTTGCTGTGGGGGAGTGAGGGGGACAAGAAGAGGTACTATCGTCAATTGAGGAGGTCAGCGCAGAGGACGACGGAGGATGGGATGGAGACATGAGCAGGGTGCGGGAGCAGTGATACAGCACATCATGCTGGAAGGCTACTCTAAGCCCACGCGTGATCGTCATCTGGACGAGCAGCACCTATGCGATATGCAAGCATCATTACTTTGGACTGGGAGCGTGAAAGCGTGACAGGAAGCAGTCTTCCGGAGTCAAGGTTAGCAAACATGGAGTTGAGGGACCACGTGACTAAGCACATGGGGGATTAGCTAAGCCTGCAGCACGCCACGAGGAACACCATGATCCGATTTGGCGGGCTCCACTTTTCCAGGAACCAGTTACGCCGTCGCTATGTGCAACCAATCGCATCGACTTTGGCACTCCACTTTTCTGCTTCCCCAAATTCCCTGCGTCGACCTCATTAATTTGTACAGCCAGATCTGACCGCCCTCTGGACACTGCAGCCTGAACGACCGTCTCCCGCCAGAATGGAGCGCAAAAAGTACCCCGGAGAGGTCGACATGACTCCGCGATCGTACGGCACGGTGCTTGTCGTTGGAGGCTGTGGCTTTGTCGGGTCACGGCTGGTAGACCAGCTGCTCAACTTTCCCTCCGAGGACGCTGGGACGGCTGTGACCAAGGGCCACGCCCAGCAGACGCCTTCTTCTCTATCAGCGGCGGCAAAAGCACCTCCTTATCCTCCACTCGCACCTCCCTCCGCTCCCATCCCGACACCCAACCCCGAAAAATACCAGTCGACGACCCTCCTCCCCGCGTCCTTCCCGTCCCTTCGCTCTCGCTACCCGCCCACCAACCTCTCCAAGACGCAGGTCCACGTGCTCGATCTAAGATGTACCCAACATGTCTTCCCCGGCGCGACATACCATTCGGCAGACATCACAAACCCGGCGGCTATCCTTGACGTCTTCAGAAAGGTCAGGCCCGACGTAGTCATCAACACGGCTTCCCCGTCGTGGGAGGCACCTTCAGACATCCTGCGGAAGGTGAACATTGAAGGGACGCGCATTTTGGTCGAAGTGGCAGGCGGGAAGAAGCACGGCGACTGGGGTGGCCACGTCAAGACCTTCATCCACACATCTAGCGCCAGTGTCGTCCACGATGGCGACTCGGACCTCATCAACGCAAATGAGTTGTACCCTTATGTCTGCCCCAACCCCCGAGAATACTACTCCGAGACCAAAGTCTTCGCCGAGAAGCTCGTGCTCGAGGCGAACGCGAACGAGGAATACTCGGACGGTGGGAGAATGCTGACCTGCGCGGTCCGGCCTGCCGGGGTCGTGGGCGAGGGTGACCGCGGCGGCTTCTCCGGCGGCATTCTGAGAACAGCCAGCGTGGCGCCTTCGTGGCAACTGCACATCCAGCTCGGCGACAACGCCAATCTCTTCGACAACACGTACGTTCACAACGTGTGCTTCGGCCTCTTGTGCGCGACATCCGCCCTCCTCGAAACGTACGAACGCCGACAAAAAGGCATGGGTGGCGTGCTGGACTTTGAGAAAGTCGACGGCGAGGCCTTCAACGTGACGAACAACTCGCCCGCCTATTTCTGGGACTCGTCCCACTACCTGTACTCGCGCTACGGGCGGGACCTGGACCGTTCGCGCATGACCGTGCTCCCCACGTGGTTTGCGTATTATATCGGCGCCGCGGCCGAGGTGTTCAACTGGATGACGGGGCGCAAGGGCAAGTTTAACCGGCAGACCTTGAAGTACGCGACCATCAATCGGTACTATAATTGTGAGAAATTGATGGAGAGGACCGGGTATGTGCCCATCGTGCCGCTGGACGAGGGGTTCGCGCGCAGTGTCAAGTGGTTCAAGGAGGACGAGGAACGGCAGATGAGAGAAAAGGGCGGGTGGGAGAAGGAGAGGTAGGAGGAGGAGGAGGAGGCGGCGGCGGCGGTAGAGGTATTATCTTTAGTGTAATGTCAATCAATCACGGTAATGTCTAGGTACAGACCTACCTATAATCGCGCGATGGACAAGTGACGCTCCAGGTACTGTAATGTAACCAAATCGAGTCTCTTCGTCATCTTCTCAGCTCACACTTCAAGCATGTCCTCCTTCAACAGCGTGTTACTCAAAAGCAAGCACGCCACTACTGCGGTACATAATACTGTTAATCGAGTCTCTTCGTCATCTTCTCACTTCACCCCTCAAGAATCTGTTATACAAGCCTGTTGCAAAATAGTGCTCCGTACGACGCAGGGACCGATCTCTACGGTCTGAATAAAGTCCTAGTGAACTGGGGTGAGGCTTCATTGCCAACGGGGGCGTGCCTCTCTGTGGCGGCATGCTCTGCTCTTCTCACACTCAACCACCCTACGTTTCAAAGGAGTGACACGATGCCTGTGGTTGAGTAGAGTGTACTGACTGTCTGTGTATGTCCTCTCTATGAACTATCGAAGGCAACGACAAAACAAAAAGGAAAGGAGCACAGCCTTGCGCTAAACCTCCGCCAATCAGAATGCTCCGTTGCTTCGCAAAATATTGTTTCGAGAAACGGCAGCCTTGCCAACTATAACCTCATCAGCCCCAGTAGACTAGATGCGAGACTCTTAACTCCCGACACTCTCTCAGGATCTCATTGTAACTAGTACTGTAGTCGTCAACGTGAATCGCTCGCTGGGTAAATTAGCTGGAGGCCGAGAGACCGAGGGCGAGGGCGAGGGCGACTCGTACATCCATCGCCAAGCGAAGTGTGTATACTCCGTATACACGTCTAGATCGTCACTTCGCTGTTCGATACCGACGCGGCTGCTACCTACCGTACACTCTCTAAGCCACTATCAGCCGACTTCGCCGAGTCACTCACCAAGTACGACATTGGTGGTACAGATACCGTGAAGACGTGCTCGCCTCGTCTCGTCTCGTCGCGGTACCAGCTCTACAGTATACGGCCAATATTGCCTTTGGCAGCGAATTTTGCCAACAGCGGTACTATAATTGAGGTACCCTACCTACCTACCTACCTACCTACCTACCTACCTACCTACTATGTACCATGTATGTCATCGCACCCTGATCCGACCCTGCTTCCAACTTCGAAAGGACGCAGGACGCAGGAGCATAACTGAGACCAGGACTAGCTCCTGCACTGTACTCTACGTACTGTATTTATACCGTGCACCGAATGCCCTTCTCGCACCACAGGGCGCCGCGAGTCTAAGACTGGTATACTATTACTGCATATCGCCCTATAATCCATCCCCTATACTCTACCTGCATGCCTATATACGCCGGCGCGTATGTACACATGTACACACACACACACACACACACACACACACACACACACACACACACACACACATCCAACGATTATGCCTCCGCCCGCTCTCCCGCCCGCCCGCCTGGCGTCAGTCCTGGACATCATCCATGGACACCTAGCACGTCATGTTCATGTACGCAATGCGACCCCAGCCCAGAAGACGAGGCCGGAATTCGCACACGTTCTGCCTTTGTCGACATGCACAGTGCAAGGCCATGGACTCGCTGCGGGAGATGACGCCGGTCGGTGGTGGGCGTGTACAGTACCTGGACGAGGCTGATGCGTTTCGAGGTCGACTCTAATGTATTCGATGTAACTCGCCACTCGTCACATGTGTTCTAGAAGAACCTGAATCACCAGACGCTGTTGAAGATCAAGGAAAGGGCCAACTCGACCTGAACAAGGGTGAAGGTGCTACATGTGCATGCATGGGGGCCGTAGTCTCGTAGGCTCGAGTACAAAGGTACAGGGTACAGATGCTCGAGTGCTTAGCATGCATACTCTGAAGGCGGATGTCAGCACTGGATCGCATCAGGAGCTTGAATATTACTCCCACTATTGATGAGGTGAGCATATTCGTATGTGAGCACCGCCAACTTCAGCGCACACAGCAGCAGCAGCGGCGGCAGGCGAATATGCGGAAATACCGTTTGAGGGAATAGATTTCATGTCGGATGTCGTCGGGGCTCACTTTCCGGGCAAGGCGATAAACAGATGCACGGATGCACGGATGGATGGACAAGTTGACTGACTGCTTAACCGATTGATTACTGGGATATAGCCCGGTCATACCGTCTCCTTCCCTTGGGTACCAATCTCGTCGCTACCGAGCGGGCTTCTCTGGCTGACGCGTTCGGTCTCTTTCTCGGATCTCAGCGCCGTCCTCTCCTCCTCGGTCAGCAGCTGCACGCCTGCCCCGTCTCTTCCCACATCCTCGAAGACGCCTACGACACCGGCCTCTCGCTCGCTGAACCGATGGTCCCGCCACTTCTGCACGGGGACGCGATCCTGAAAGAACAGCTCCAGCTCCAAGTGGCTGCGGTGGGTCGTCTCGCCGACGCAGAACCAGACATACGCCAACGTGACGCACGTGGTGCCCGCATACACGAAACCCAGCATCGGGCCCAGCCCGCCGTCGTAGTAGATGTACGGGCTCGTAAAGGCGACGACCCACACGGTGTTGAAGAAGGCCACGATGGCCGAACTCATGATCTTGTTGCGGTTGCGCCCGACGGCCATTTCCGAGGCGATGGTGAATGCGAGGGGCCCGTGGCCGAAGTTGAACGCCACGATGATCACGTAGAAAATGACCACGATGGCCGTGCTGTAGCTGGTACGGGTGTAGGGACCGGCGCCCAGACCGCCGATAATGATGTACGCGAGGAGCATCATGACCTTGGTGACGAGCAGGTTGGCGCGGCGGGGGGACCTTGTTCCCCAAGACGACCGACACGCCCACGGCCACGACTTGGAGCGTGTTGGTGATCAGGGAGATGGTGAAGGCCTGTTTGATGCCGATGGATTGCGCAAAGACCACGCCGTACGAGTAGAAGAATTGGATGCCGTTGATTTGCTGAGCCACCATCGCGCCGCACGAGTAGATGAGTTTGCGCCGCTCGATGGGGTCCTTGAGCAGCGATGTCCACGACCCGGCCAACCCCAGACGTGACATCTGCAGAATCTCAAAGCGTCAGTGGGTGGAGGGAGTACGAGTACTGGAGTGATTGACGTTTTCTGCAGGTGATAGGCGTTAGTACGAGCCGGTCAGCTGCAACGCCGCGGACTAGGACGCCACCAAGCGACTAGCTGTGCGCCGGGAGCGGGTGTAACAATGCTAGACAGGGTGACAGGGGATCGTTAGTATGCCCCTGGTGTAGAGCGGGCACAGGAAAACATTCCCCTCGTGCTTTTGCATTCTATGCAATCCAATCGACGAGAAATCCTGACAAGAGCCCATGTGAACAGAGGCCGGAGAGGCGGGGCTGCGCCAGAATGCGTCTGTGAGTCGATTGATGGTTGACAGGAGATTATGAAGTCTTCTCTTGACAGACAGCAAATCTGCAAGTCGGACAGGCTGGCTCCCCGAGTTGAGTCGCCGGGGTCCTGACAGTCAAGAAGAGAGCAAAGGGGGCAGGACCTAGATTCACTGCCCTGGCAAGCCACGAGATGCCGTTGACGACTGTTTTCTTCCTCGCCTGATGAGCATGATCTCTTGGAGGACGCAGGCCTAGTGGCTCACTTAGTTGTGGCATCGCCCCTCTTGATACGGCAATCCGATATACTACAGCGCTGAACGTCAATTCAGCACGAGCTTCACCTTGGTTGCTCGGGAAAGCATCGGGATCGATGCCGGCCCGGTTGTTTGCAGCGGTGGTCACCCCTTGAACCCAGTTCGTGAGGAAAAGAAAAAGCAACTCCGTCCATCTCGGACCCGCCCCCATCGGTGGTCGTGATGCGTGGGGCATCTGGCATCTGCCTCCTCCAACTGGTGATTCTCCGACTCGAACCTGGCCGGCAAGCCGGGCATCTCCCCTGTGAACTGCATGACTGCTGTCAAGACGCTCTAGACCTGCACGTGGCTCGAGATCTCATTACCCGTGCCTACGATCCATCTTGTGCTGTGGTGTTCCCAATGGGATGCGATTCGCAGTCGCTGAAAATCGTACAAATACCTTTCCCGTGTCGACTTGAAAGCCTCCCAACTCTTAACATTCCATGAAGACGACCAGAGTTGGCCACGCTTGATATTGCCATTATTGTTCGAAGACGGGCAATCTCAACATGCCTCTTATCATCGGGCTGAACAGTGGGTCCTCTTTCGATGGAATCGACGCAGTCCTGTGCAGCATCGAGATTGCAGAAGATGGCCATCCAGGAAGACCCAGATTCGTTGACGGTATCTCGGAGCAGTGGCCCGAAGAGCTTCAACCATTAGTGCTGAAGGCTTTTGCCAATGAATTGTCCATCTTTGACCTGTGCAGGTTGAACTATGCTGCAGGCGCAGCGTATGCAGAACTGACTAGCAAGCTGCTCAAGAAGACCGGATTGAAACCTGAGGAAATTGATGTCGTGGGGTATGACGGACAAACAATATATCAAGAGCCGCCCGACCAGGACAAGAAGAGGGACTTCCTCGTAAGCGGAAACCCAAGTTTGGTTGATCGGTGGACAAAAGGCGGATTCCCTTGTGGTCTCTTCATCGTGGAGTCTGGCGTCGTTGCGGCTTTGACAAATATCACAACCGTAACCCAGTTCCGACCCATTGACCATGCATTAGGAGGTTCCGGAGCCCCTCTCATGCAGTATCTCGACTTTTGCTCGTTCCGGAACGAAGGGCCTGTGGCTACACTGAACATCGGAGGAATCGCGAACCTGCAGCTTGCCGATGCAGACCGGCACAAAATGATGGCTTTTGACACAGGCCCGGGCAACGTGATGATCGACCACGTGATGAAAGTGCGCAAAGGCCAGCCATACGACGCTGGCGGTGGACTCGCGTCCAAAGGACAAGTCATTCCGGAGCTGTTGACCCGCCTGGAGGCACATCAATTCTTCCTCCGGAAACCACCCCGGTCCGCTTGGCGGTTGGACTTTGGAGGTGACCATGCTAATCAAATCCTCGAGGATTACAAGACTGCCTCAACGGAAGACTTGATGGCAACTCTCACGCTGTTCACCGCAAAGTCAATTGAGCTGTCAGTCGTTGACTTCATCCTTCCCCGAGCACCGATCAAGACGGTAATAGCTAGTGGTGGTGGTACGAAGAATGCGACACTCATGGGACATCTTCGCGAGGGGTTAGCACCACAGCGAGTCGAACTCCATGTAAGCGACGAGTTTGGACTCCCTGCACCGTTCAAAGAAGCCATCAAGTTCGCCACACTGGCCTTCGCTTGCAAAAACGGCCTCGCGAACAACATTCCTGCTGCTTGCGGGGCATCATCCTTTGCCGTCCTTGGAAAGCTGAGTCTCGCCCCCAGACTTGCTAAGCATGGCGATTCCGTTCCCGGAAGTGAAGGTCTCTGAGGGCTGCATGCGTACAGGTGAAGCTGACCTGCTACAGGCAGTCGTATCCAGCGCAACGGCGATAAAAACTGTTGGATGGCGGTTTAGATCCGGCATGTTTCGAACCCGTGTTGCGTAACTCGCGTTCCGATGCCTGCTGGACTGTGGCCTTTCTCGCATACTCCGCGGGGTCGGCAGGCACCGTGAGTTAGTTCATTGTATGGGACTTGGTGTCATGGCTGTGGTGACTTTGGTGGCTCGCCACTGAGTATACGGGTGAAGTCGCATAGGTATTTCCTATCAAAGGAGTACGAGGGGTGTGCTTCTGGAAGTTTTTTCGAACGTTTCTGAGCATCACCAATGTCTCTCTGATATTTGCAGGTCTGTTCATTCCCCGTTCGAGCACGGCTTCGGCGCTGTCCAGGAGCTGATCCGCCTCGCAACCTTGTTGAAGTAGGATCGACATGTGAGCCGAACTCTGAACCTGTAATATAATCGCATACGCCGCAATCAGGTGCTGTAGATTGCACCAGTTTTCAAAGCATTCGTGTGGGTTGCGTTGTTGCCTATTTGAATGGAGAAGAACAATCATGATCGCCATTTGCACACAATTATGACAAGACTCATACACCCAGGGATCTAGTCTCGAGCTGTCGGTGCTGGATGATACGACGGCGTTCTCGTATTCTGCGTACAACACGTGGTATAGAATGGGTCGATTGACGAGGAAGACTGCGGCGTAATATCGGAACTTCAGTTCATCCTAAACGCATCAGCAGTCGTGCGCACGAATGCAACGCCCACGCTTACCATCAGATCTGACATAGAGCTCGACGCAAGTATGAAGGCCGGAGGATGTCCGGGAAACCTCATTTCGACTGGGAGAGTCCAATACCAAACGTCCAAGCGACGAGCGATATTAGGAAGGATCCCGGCAACATCCTCTGGTCGGCAATAGGCTCGGTTGACGACATAGAAATGCTCCAATATACTGTTCATGTATCCCCTCAACCTCAGGTGGGCTTGAAGCTCTTGGGGTTGATAGTCGTCTGTGGTTGGCGCAGTTGAATCGTTCTCGAAGAGATGTGGAGGGGTGGTGACTGTATCGTGGGCCAGGGTAACCGCAACGTTAGGCAATCGCTGTGATGGAGTTCCGTCGATTTCGCTCAAGATATCACTAGCCCACAGGTAAGCACGCGATCATGCTGCCAACACAAAGAACCATGCCTTTCCAGAATAAAATATTGGTGTAGACATGCTTCGTATCGAGACTTGGCTGCACTGCAGGCTGTCAACAAGAGTAGCGGGCAAGCCTTCTGGCACACCTACAGATCCTCTTGAGAATTTGGCGAGGCATTGTGGATCAGCGGTTCGAAGCCTTGTAAAAGGCCCAAGGCATGAAACGGCCTGCCATAGAGATATAGCAGGATAATGACGAACAAGAACTTGAAAGGCAGTGCTTGAGGGCTCTGCTGCGCTTGCATTGCCAACGTGTGCTGAAGTACGTGTCGGAAGGATAGATCTGCTTTCTGATTCAAGTTATAATCCGCCCTTATCCCCGCCAGATGTTTTAGAGCAACCGTCTGAAGCAGAAGCTCCTCCGCACATTGTGTGTTGAATGCCAGGGTCAGGTCATGGCCGGGAGATGTCCCGAGGTATCTCCTGAACACGGCGAGGCAAGCTTCGCTGGTCAATCCTCCCTGGGTGAACAGGTGCCGCAGCACGAACGGCAGTCGATGGAGGTTCTCGAACATGGACTCGATCCCTCTGACCACAACGGACATTGGTATCTCGGGGGAGACATGCATGCTAACATCTGGAGCAAACAGGGCATTGTCGCTGTCATCGACCTGGCGGAGAAAGGTCAATGGCGCCAGGTTCAACTTCAGATTGACTCGGAGTTGCGACCAATAATGAAACATTTTGTGCGCGGCAGCATGATGGAAGCCGGGAACCTTTGGCCATGACTTGACGGTTAAATTCTCCGAAGCAGGAGTCGCCACGGTTGAGTCCAGTCGACCTTGATCAAGTGCTTGCACGCGCGTCTCCAGATGCGAGATGCGGGCAAGAACCGATGTGTCGCTGGAGGGACAGGTCAGTCCCAAAGTTCATGGTGATAATCGCGCTCAACAACCTACGTCTCGAGACCGGTTAAAGGAGGTCGATAGACACACCCCAGGCCCATATTTTCACAGTGAGAACAAGCTGGTCGCCTCCCATCACAGCGAGACTTGCGCTTGCGACAGACATCGCATGCTAACTCGGTCTTATTGCGCTTCGGCCTGTTGTTCCGATCGGGAATTGGCTCTGGGGACATGATCCAGGGGTGTTGCCTGTGCGAGACTTCTTCACGCACGGGAAGGGGACGGCTGGTACCACCATGCCTCGGCCAGTTGATTGACGTGGAGTCCCAACCACCTAGCTGCTCAACATATGACCTGATCGACAACGGGTAATATTCACTCCCAGCGTGCGGCTTAGCGGGTCATAAGAGACACCGAGATGCTCGGCGTATGGCTCGGTTTACTCGACGTGTGCGCAATACCTAGTGAAGATTAAAAGATGGAGAATTGCGTGAGCTGAAATTGGGAAGGGCCGTGAGACGGGGAATGCACGCCCGGCAGATTGGCGCAGGGCTTCTGCAGAGGAAACTGTCGACTGAGCATGAGAGGACGGGGCCATGCATGAGCATGAGTGCTTCGTCCTATGGTAGGTGCATGACAGGTGAATGTTGGTCAGTGGAGGGTGAGAGGCGGGCGAGTGGGCGTGAATGGTTCCAGGCCGCACATGCAAATGTGTTAGACGCTTGGAGTTGTGGCTGCATGCTGTGCCGTAGCTAGCTCCAACTACGGCGAGGCACTGAAGCCTGCGTGGTTGACGTCGCCTCAGCTCATTCACCTGCGCCTGACGAGCCGATCACGAATTCCATGCCTCATACGAGTAGCGCCTCACCTCGTCCGGCCTGCAACTGTGATGCCTGTCCAGCCCCTACGCCAGTGTGGTGTTTTCCAAAAGCACTGCATATCATTTCCTACACGGGGAGTCCCAAGTCACGAGCGCTTCAAGCAAGCAGCCTTGATTCCATGCATTAATGAACCTCCCCGACTTGGCGATCCAACATCGTCGACGATGCGGACATCTCGTTGGCCTCCTCGTACCGCGTACTACTGCAATCGTCTCTTCTCCGTGGCGTTGCAGTAGCTGCTTTCGTTGATCCTCAATTGCGATCGAGCCATATCTCAGCGCCATCCTGCGGGAGCGAGACTGAATACTCGAAGACTCAAAGCGGTCAAGATCCCCTACAACCAGCGATACGCATGGGACACCGCGCCATCTCTGCATACACGAGATCTTGTGGAACCGCAAATGCCACGAGATCCGCCCCAGGTGGACGCCTGAATCGCGTCACGCCTTTGGCCGCCAATAGGGGTGAGGAGACGATTCCACCTGGACAGCATCGCGGGCTCCGCGCTGGAACTCACCCTGTCCCACCCAGCATTTCCATGTCGAGAACAAAGGAAACCCCTAAAGGGAAGGTGCAGTTATTCGAGATGCTCCTCCAGCCACAGATTGCGGCTTCCATTGCGGCTTCGATCACGAAGGCTCCTCTGCTCTATGATGAGACGAATATTGGTCCTCTAAATATCTTATCAATGCCAACCCGTCAATTCATGCGCGATAGCTATAACCAGCTTGCTGCTGTCAAGCTAGTATGCAGATTGCTCTTGACACATCGGCCTAGCCACTTGATTCATGCGCATTAGCCAACCTACCTCCAATAAACAGACGAGACCGATGATCCCAATGAAGAAGACCATGTTCCTACTTGGACGCACTTTTTGATCATGCTCTACGTGCTGACTTTGTAGCATCAGAATGGCCAGGGGAACTGAGCAGTCCAATTAATGTAGATCTAATATGGCGGGATCTGTACGCCACAATGTCGCAACCTATGCCGTCCTTCCCGCTACAGGAGAGGGAAATCCCATGCCGATAACAACCACCACGCTATGTCCTTTTCAAATCACCAGCCATTACTTCTGCATCTCGCAGATTGGTGTTCAGCACAATTTTCCACCTCAGCAAGCCCCTTTGCCGGCGTCCTCACAAATGCTATCAGTCCGCAGAACGCCTAATGCAAGCCCCTGTCCTGTCGTTATGGCCCCGATGTCTAGTCATCACACATCAAAACATGCCTGATCGATCACCCCACTACCTTGAGCCTGGGAGGGTCGTCAGATGCAATTGGAAGTGTTCAATAGTCGTGGTAGGGTTCGAATCCGCTTTGACTGGAAGCATAGTCGCTCGTCATCGCACCCCCACCTCTTGATGGAGGCGCAAGAGGGTGCTGTGCCCATCCGGCGCCGCTGGCTTGTGCTCGTCGTTCTGGATCTCAAGTCAGTATAACTGTCGGAACAAACCACGGGCAAGAACGAAAGATGGGCTCTATGGCAAGCCCGGATGGTCGATAACGCACCTTTTTCAAAATCGCCCCACCTCCTCATAGTGATTTTGGAGCTGTCGAATTCACCTTCTGCTTCGCCATGCCCACCACTCTTCTTCGTTTCCCCGGCCGTTTTCCTGGTCTCTCCCCAACTGAAATCGTCAAACTTCCAGTAGGCGTAAGCTGGGAGGACGAAGTTCCAGATCGGTAGAGATAGAAGGTAGATACCCATCCAGGCGACGTAGGACCAGCTGTGGGCTGTCAAGACGATGAGGACGGCCGGAAGACCGAGAATGAGACCCAGCAAAACGAGCGGGATGACCGGAACGGGTTTGGCGACAATAGAAATGATGACCAGGTAAAACGTGAATGTGATAGCCGCCGGGAGGACAAGGGTACCAATCAACTCGATAAATACGACAAACTGCATGCTGAAACAGAATGTCCCGCACAAATCCCGCACAAGCACGAGTTCCATGAGGTTGTGTACCGTAGAGTTGATCCATCGGCGACGCTGTGAGAGCAGGACCTTGAATTTGTTCGGGACTGTTGTTTTGCAAACCGCTTGGGGCACAAATACCTGTTTGCGCTTCGGGAAGGTTTTCAGCATGAGTGTCGAGAGGTATCTGTCTTCGCCCAGCAGCAAAAGGTTCTTCTTATGCAATGTGTCAACGACGTTCTCCGAGTAGTGTTCCACAATATCCGGGTTGGCCAGGATAGGGACCCAGTAGTTTTGTCCGCCTTTAGGTGCCTTGATTCGGTACATGCAGAAACACCCGGGCAAGCAGGTGACACCACCAAAGACGGACTCGAACGACTTTGACAGATGATGTGAGATGAAGTACTCAAACACCTGGATCTTGGACACCCACGATTCGCTTTTGTTCGCGATCTTGGTTTCACCGCAAAGGCCCATGATTTCGGGGTCTTTCACCATGGCTGAGATCATGTGCGTAAGACTGTCCGGATACACTTTGGTGTCGGCGTCGACCATGAGCACCGTCTCATAGAAGTCTGGAGACATGCCGGTCACTTTCCAGAGTCCATTGAACATCTCGTATTCGAGCTCGGTCATTCTTTCGTCGAACATGACCTTTTGAAGGAAGGACATGAGGATGATCTGACTATCACGTTTGCCTCGATTGCCGGGTTTGCTGGCCAGAGCTTCCTCGGGCGTTCCACATTTGACCACGACCATCATGGGCACCCGCTGCTGCTTGCTGGGATCGATCTTGGAGTCTCGGCCATAGTCGTAAAATCCAGCATACACCTTGGCCATGTTGTGTCGCTTCGAGCCGCTTGAGACGGCCACATAGGAGAAAGCTTGGACGTCTTCAGGCATAACGACCCAGTCACCCATCATGGAAAGTACAATCTCCGGTGTGGTGATGTCATTTCCTGCGCCCTTGATCAGGCCGTCACAAATCACCAAGATAGCCTTGTGGCTATTTGGGTAGTCGGTCGTCGCAATAGAGTCAAGAGTAGTCCGGATTCCTGCCGCATCCTCAGAATATGCCGTGACCAGGCAGATGCAGTGAGCAAGGGGATAGCCGAAAGGCTGCCACTCAGGAGGCGGTTGAGGCACGACGTTTTCATGGATAAAGCCCACAGGGGCACCTGCTTCGCCCAGCGAGTCCATCACAACCGAGTAGCGGGTTTCATGACCTGAGAGGAGTAGGCTGGACCTGCTAGCACCAACGCTCATGCGCGAGTTGAGATCCAAGGTGTTTTGGCTGCCATTATAGCCGGTCTTGTAGAGTCCACTTCCCTGCTGGACGACTCTTGCATTTGAGGCTTGGCTAGCCATAGTGGTGGGTTGTGGTCGATTCGTCTTCGTGACTCGTTCCACGGCATAGGGGCTGGTAAATCGGGACGTCTGAGGGAATAACTGGCTTCCGCGTTTGCTGGTACGTGCATCAGACCCAGAAACTGTGCTAGCAGGATCTGTGATTTTTGGCGCGGGCCTATAAATATCGTCTGCCCAGTCCTCGATCTGCTGAGCTCTTTTCTTTGGATCTGCTGTTTGCGAGGTCTTCGCGGCTGCGAACTTTCGAGCCAAAAACCACTGGAATGCCAGGGCGAGGAAAAATTTGACCAGGACAATAGCAAGAATGAAGACCAACGAAACGTAAAGAACGACTTTCGAGGCTATGCATCCAATGGTCTCGGTGTCGACCGAGCCAACTTTTGCGATTTGGGTCAGGCATTTGCCGACTTTCTTGTCGGGGCCAGACTGCAGCAGGTGAGTAATGTCGGTGCCACGGATCTGGTCGCTCTCTCGCATATCGTCAAATTGTTTGGGCCAGACCACTTGGCTCTCGTTGAACCATCTCAGCAAATCCAGATCGATGACTGACCCGGAATATACTACCAGATTCCGACTGGAGTTTTTGACATCATCCCAGGTGAAAAAGACTTCCCCGGCTTTTTTGAGGTCATGGAAAAAGGTCGTCCTTGCTTTGGCGGTCGTATGACAAGCATATCCTAGGTAGTACGGGTTGGTGGTGTTAACAGGCGACGAACCATCCTGATTAAAAGCATTGCACGGAAAGTACCACGCAAGATCCCCTTCGGCATTTGTGGGAACATCGGATCCAGGCGCCAAAGTGATCAGATCTTTGCACTCTCCGTTGACCTTTTGGAACATGAAACTTCCATCCTGGCCACCGTACTTGTGCGGCAAATCATAGAGGACGTTGCTGTCTAGTGGAACCCCCAACGCCGCAGGATGCATTGAACCATCAAGGTTATAGGCATCTCCATGAAAGATCATGTACCCACGGTCGACGTGGTTGATCTTGAGACGCAGTCCCGGAGCAGGGCAGACTGCTCGTGTGAAGCCGAAGGTCAGGAAGCCGACAAAAGTGGCGATAAGGAGGATGATGCTGATCAACCCAACTTTCTCCCTCCAGGCCCTCTTCTGGGCTCGGTTCGGCATCCCACAGCATGTTAGCAGGAAATCCGGAGCCCAAAAGGTGACCACTGAACAGTACACGTTCCAGGCACTCGGGGGCTTGAGCTTTTCGGTGTCCTTGAGCCGGCTCTTCTCCTGTGTGGTCATGTCCCGCGTGTCCTTCCTCACCAGCTTCCGCGGCTGTCTCTTCTTGCCCACCGGTTCTAATTTGCCGGGTACGCGTGCTTGTTGATGGGTGTGAGGCGCGCTGTCATCGTCGGTGTGCGTGTTGAGATTGGTGCTTTCTGAGCTAACTGTTCGTGCTTCTACCAGTTCTTCCACCACTGGATCGTTGCCTGTGGTTGATGGGAAGACCTCCATATTCTGTGCATGCTTGCGGTAGTGGTAATTAGGATGATCTCGGTCTATGCGGTTGCGTTCTGGTCTGATGAGCGACTTCTTGCGACCGAGTTCGGTCTGATTTATTGGATTCGACATGATGGGTTCCCAGTCGCCTGCTCTGGAATTGGGAGATGGAGGATAAGGATCGGCCGCAAAGTGTTGGGAGGAATACGGTGCGCCGCGATAGTTGTTTGAACCGGTCTCGAGATCTCGTAGTCGTCGCGAAGGAGAGTCTCTATACGGGGAATGGGACTTATCGCGAGTCGGGGACGTGGCAGGCCGCGGCCTACGCGGTGGCTCTGACATGATGACTTCTGCGAGGAGCAAGAATGTTAGTGGGGTCACAGCCAGTCGCGATATCACCGTGGCAAACATACTGCGACTTCAATTGTCTCCTCAACCTGTGTTTTCGGGTGTGCAAAGAGTGCTGTTGAGAACGGCGCCTGCGCTGTCTCTGGTCCGGAGTGGGCAGTTTTACAAAGGAATCTCTTGACAGGTATGTAAGCGCCTGATTTGTACTGGAGAAGCACTCTGTTGTCTTTGGTGGTGTAGACTGTGGGGATTGTCCAGTCGGTTGACCCGGTGAAAACTAGACGACGGCGGGATTTGTTCAATTCAAGTGGCGTTTTTGGCCTGCTTAAAAGAAGGTTGATGTATTGCTGGAACTCAAAAGGACAGTGGCCCAACAGGTGAACGAGTGTATGTGTACGGAAAGGTTTGACAGCGAGTGAGCAACAATTACGAGGCAAAACCAAGACTGGATCAGGACGAGACGAAGAGGTGCACTCATGTTGTGTACGGAGTCCTGGGCATGGCAATGGCCCTGCCCGGACGGAGAACTATATGACGGCGTCTACAGGCGATTCGTTGATCGTCCGACCGAATGCATACCCAGGTTCTGGATTGGCTCAGCCTCACTTAGTGGACTCATGCAGGAGAAACAGAGATCCAGCAGAGGCGAAAAGTATTCTCCGAGATGAAATAGTCTTCTTCTCCTGAACTGGCTCCTGTTCGCTCTTCCGCTGTGGACCATCTGTCCGCCATGGCTCTTGACGCTGGAAGAATACGTCTTGAGGTGATGGATGGGCTTCAGAGACATCGATCCTGCAGCCGTCCTCCGTACCAAGTATAGTGATGCCGGTTGGTGAGATCTGTGGCAATCAGCAAGGCATAAGAGTCTCGGTTGTGGCTGAGAGTCTTATTTTTACACGTTCGGACACAATCGACGGTTGCCCTGACATCCGACGCGCGTCATTTCAACGAGTCAACCTATCAAGGGCGGCCTCCCGTTGAAGCTACTGCAGAGACAAGGAGGGTACGATATACTGGACAATGTTGCTACGAGGTACGAGATGATATGCGAGCTGCGACAAAATCTGTGATTGTTCACCCATAATGTATGGTGGCTACGAGCGAAGAAGGACACTGTGTACACAACAACTACTCAGTCTTTCGTGAAGGAGGGGTGAATGTGATGATGTCTTACCACACCCAGAGAGGTACTAATGCCTACTGCGTATGTCTGCAAGGACGGTCTTACCCGAATCGTCGGCCTGTCAACAAAATACGAGCTGCAGTCATCCCACACAACTGGGAAGGATCTGGCTACCTGGTACTGCGAAAGGCTGATTCTGGCATCTGTCGAGAGCTGTGCGTGCCACTACTGTGTAGTCTGATGGCCGGTGGTGGTTGGGCTTTGGCCAGCAGGTTGCGCCGTCTGCGTCGGGTGAAACATGCTCTGCATCAGGAAGCATAGCGCCCTCTTTTGGCACCCAGCAATGGGGGGTTTGGCAGCACTTGGCTTGCCGCGTCTTTCCGGAGCCCTGCTCTCAGTGGAGCCAGTTTGCCCGCTCCAGGCGCCACAAGATTTCTTCGTGGCTGCCCTCCGCGCCTAAAGTTGACATCAGCTGCCGAAACTTCGGGCACGCCCGTCCTTTAACCCACGACTCCTTGCTTTGGAAAGGCTGACCGTATGGTTTGGAAGCTCTGCCCACCATCTTGCGTCCCAGTTGCACATCCTGCTACACAACTTACACAGCGACTGAGGCACAAAGCGTCACACCTATTCCTGTCGTTTGCTCCCAAGGGATTCTTTGTCCAAGTGACAAGCCTATATCCTGTTCTAACTGCCAGCACAAAGAGGGTCAATTAGTTCAGCAGACATCAGTCCACAAAGGATTTGATGCGGGGACAACCCTGCCTAGATACTGCTTCCATGCCTCTTCTAGCCTACCTCTACAGAATAAACCCGTCCACTGAAATTCTTAGTCGTAGTCACACTCACCTCGCTACGACCACTTGACACCACCCTCCTTTTTCCCATCCGCTCGAGCTGTAGATATTACGCTGTACTTCTGGACGATCTCTGTCTTTTCGCATGCCCTGCCGCCGCTGAAACGACTTTCTTTTTACGCCGCGTCGATTCGTCATTCCATTTACAAGCGACGCCACCGCATTCCCTCCAAGACAACCTCAGCGCGGGCCCTCAAAGCACCTCTTCCGAGCCTACCGTTCGTTTTACCCTTGAACCAGGGAAATCACACATTCCAGCATAGGTTTATTCACTTGGCGACAACCTGTTCAGTTGTCCGGACTGCAACTCACACCAACCTCACATACCAACCTTGTGACCGTTCCGATGTCTGCGTCCTAAAGTTACCCAACCACCGTTCTTCGAAATGGCTCAAGTAGCGGATCACCCGCTTCCTCCGACCCCTCCTCCTGCTATCTACTCTCCTCCCTTGCGATCAGATAGTCCTCGAATCATCGAACCTCGGGAAGAGCGAGGAAATGGCAGACCACAGCATGACCAACGCAAGCTGAGCCATTCTTCAACATCCTTGTTTCCATCGGACGCCAGGCCTACGGACGACGTCTATGCCCTTGCAGATGCCGCTGCTGAAGTACAAATACACCCTCCTGAAACCGCTGCGTCAAGAACGGTTGATCCAGTGGCGTCCAACAGAACCCTGACTCCTCAGCCTTCTCTGCAGTTCGACCCGAATCGGCTCTCACCCAGTCCCCATGCCATGCGAAAAAGACTTGGTGGTTACGAGCTTGCTGGTGGTGATCACCGGAGAGTGTCATCAGAGAACTTTCCTCAGAGCGCAGTTGAGTTGTCTCCCCTCCCGAAGAGATCCATGCGCCACGCCTCGACCTCGGACATCGCCCCAGAAACCCCGGCCGAGTCTTTCGAACCCCTGCGCTATCACCATCAGTTGATGGAGGAGGCTGAGGTCGCCGCCCTGGACAAGCGAGCCTCAAGGCTCACGATTGGAACTACCGGGTCTGGTGACAGTGCTCGGAATAGCACCTATGGGCTAAACACGCGGCGACCTGATTCGGGTTTCTCAAGCACTTCAGATTTTCGAGGCCGGACAAACTCCCCTCGCGTCTCTCACGTTGGACGGCCAGTGTCAAGAGGTTCAAGGTCTCCCGACACCAGACCCTTGTCTTATGTCGATCTCTTGAACGTGCCATACCCGCAACCTGCGCCCAGCGGAGCGGAACATTTGGTCAACTCAGGTCTGCGGACAGTAGTCGGAAATAATGCCAACTTATTGTCCACCCGCAAAACTCTGGAAATGTACCGTGCAAATGTCAAGAAAACGCAAGATCCAGCTGTACAGTATGAATTTGCAGTCTTCATGATCAGTGCGGCGCAGGAGGAGGGTCTAGAGTCCGACGCGGTATCCGATGCTGCGGTCTCGGAGAAATCACATACGTCGGTCAGGGAAGATCTTTTGAAGGAGGCCAAGCACATTCTTCAGAAATTGTCGGATCGATCATATCCGTTTGCTCAGTACTACCTAGCAGACGGGTACGCTTCGGGGCTGTTCAACAAAGGCAAAGAAGACTGGGAACATGCGTTTCCTCTATTCTTGGCCGCGTCAAAACATGGCCATGCCGAGGCGGGGTACCGGACTGCCTTGTGCTACGAGTTTGGCTGGGGTTCACGGGTGGATGCAGCGAAGGCCGTGCAATTCTATCAGCACGCCGCAAGCAAAAACCACCCCGGCGCCATGCTCCGACTAGGACGAGCTTGCCTAACTGGTGACATGGGGTTGACCAAGAGATACCGCGAGGGTGTGCGATGGCTCAAGCGTGCTGCAGAGTCTGCTGACTTCCAGTACAACCAAGCTCCTTTTGACCTGGGCTGTTTGCATGAGACTGGTTTCGGACCCGACGTCTTCAAAGACGAAACCTACGCTGCTCAACTTTACACCAAAGCAGCTGACTTGGGTCACGTCGAAGCAAATTACAGACTCGGTGAAGCGTACGAATATGGTCAACTGGGTTGTCCGAAGGATCCAGCTCTCAGCATTCATTTCTACACCGGAGCCGCCGAACGTGGCCATGCATTGTCACAGATGGCGCTATGTGCGTGGTACATGGTGGGAGTCCCCAACGTCCTGGACAAAGACGAAGCAGAAGCATACGAATGGGCCAAGAAAGCAGCCGAGCAGGGCCTTGCGAAAGCTCAATACACCGTGGGCTATTTTACCGAAATGGGGATTGGGTGTCGTCGTGATCCGCTAGAGGCCAACGTCTGGTACGTCCGGGCAGCGGATCAAGGCGAAGAAAGAGCCAAGCACCGCATCGCCGCGATCAGAGCTGCAGGGGCGGGAGCGGATCCCCTCACGGCAGCGTCGACAGGAAAGAAGGGAGCGTTGACCACGAGCAACAGTGCCGGTAATATTGGACCTCAGGGTGAGCTCGCACATTCCGCCACGTTTTCCACCGAAGTACTAGCAGCACTAACTTTGATACTAGCTCAAGGCGAGAAGAAGAAAAAGTTCGGGATCTTCTAGACCCGAGGAACCGAACATGCAGCGTTAATGGCGTATCTTGGACTTACGTCCACGCATTCATTGGCTGGAGGATCTGCTAAGCATCTGCATTGGAAGGGAGGCATATGCCTGCATTTGCATTGCGTTAATATGACGAAGACAAAAGGCCTTGGCTTGACACTCCTGCCCACATTCCCTGGGAGGGCCAGAAGGAGTGTCCGGATATGCTGGAGGAGTTATGATCCCAGACAAATTTCCAAGCATAGCGACTGGCAAGGGAAAGACATATCACGGTAATTCTGGCAAGGGGAACGTGCAACAAGTTATTCACGAGGTTGACCTTAGAGTGATGGTGAATTGGATGGATATCTCAAATGGGCTGTATTGAAATCATCCACCCCTTTCGCATGGCCAGAGGAAGACGTCGCGCCCTTGAAGGCAGATCGGCACTTGCTCAGTTTCACAAGGCTTCTTCCTGCACCCCTTTTGTCCTTTGTATGATCCGTGCTCCCGGGAGAGGCAGCACACACCATATGCTGACCTCCATTTGTGGATTTCGAAGTCGACGAGGCGCAGGAAGGTGTCCTGAAGAACCGTTTGCGCAGGAAGGGTGTGGCCTTCACCCATGAAAATGAGCATGCGAACCAGGAAAGACTCAGTTAGCAAGACCGCCTGGTCCCCTTAGGTTCGCGTGGCAGACAGCTGGGGAACCAAACTGCGAGATGTATTGGTGCCCACAATATTGTGCCCTTCGCGTCGCGCTGGACTCATGCCCTCGAAGCCCTTGCTGCGAGTACGAGTACTCGACCTCGGACCTTTCCTCGTGCAGTTTCTGTGGCGGATCTGACTGCGCTCAGCATGCGGCGAGTGGCTTCCAGGTCTTGTCTGAAGTGCTGGCCTATCAAAAAACATATACCCAAGATCGAAGTCAGTGTCGTTTCCGAAGCACGGAATACTCCGTCATTGCATTCGTTATTCATCTTCTTTCGCCAATTACAGGTAAGCGTCGCCGTCAAAGCTCGACGGCGTTGGTGGCGACCACATGCAGGTGACGTCACATGACTGAAGATCTGTCTGCGCCCATCTGCAAGATTTCCCTGGTTACAAAGAAAACGCGTTGCTTATTACAGCAGCATATGGCAGAGGGAGGCATCTAATTCGTTCTCTCTATGCCTTATTTTCACCTTCTCATCTCCTTAGGAACCGGCATCTTCCTGCCATGAGATCCACGACGCACGCAGCGCATCCCTCTGTGCGTACCGGCGGTGCTCATTCCTGAGCCGTACACTCAGAGCTCATGCTCGTGTCTCGAGGAAGTCCCTGCGATGGCTAGCTTGACTGCTAGCCTCAAACCATGCCTCTTCCATGGCAATGCCGTGAAAGGGATCGTGGTGAAAAGGATCGTGGTGAAAAGAATTCTCTCTCAAGACGGCTCCACTTGCTGCCAGTCGAATGGTACCAAAGATAAGGGCTGGCAATAAAGGCCGGTCGCCCGGCCAAATGTTTCCTTCACAAAGTCTTATCCGGGAGAATGTGCGAGACCAGGAGAGCTTAAACAGCATGTGCTGCTGAGTGGTTTAGGAACTCTGCTTTGCATGAATTACGTTGGACCCGACTCATTGGCTGGCAAGCGAAACAATTCGCGCACGGCGATACGTCGGCGGACATTGTTCGGTGTCCAGGCCAAGCAAGCCCTGACCTCACAGCCTCGCCTAATTGACAAGGCCACAGGAACGTGAAGTATATATGATGAAAGGATCCTCGCCCTCGAACATGCTGATAATTTCCGCACTGACATTCAATCTGCGTTGCAGATATCAGACCCAACATTATCTCCCAGCCCACCGTCACCTGGCGCACATAATTGTACCCAATGGCTTCACCTCGACCTCAAAGCCCTCGGGACACCCGAAGCCCCGATAACGACCTGGCACAACACCCAACACTCAACCTCCAGCTGCACCGAACAGAGACAAGAGCCACATTACAGGAACTAGGAGTTTCGGAAACATCTCCCCGGTTAGACCCCAATTACCCAGTACTCAACCGGCCCGAGAGTCCTATCTTTCCAGAGGAGTACACTCTCGAGACCGCAACTGGTCTTGTCCCGCAAGCGACGCTTGAGCAGATCCGTACGAGAGCCTCGACAGTCGCCACTAGAAGACGCACAAGCTCTATTGTCGGTCCGGATGTCGAAAAACAAGGCGTTGAAGAACCTGTTGAATTCGTCACATTCACAATTGGAGACACCGAGAACCCGCACAACTGGAACCGCTGGTTCCGATGGTACATCACATTGGTAGCCTCGGGCCTGGTCGTCTGCATCGCGTTCGGCTCTTCAGTCGTCACGGGCGGGCTTGGCTTGGTTGAGGAGAAGTACAACGTCTCTTTGGAAGTCGCAATTCTCACGTGCTCGATCATGGTTCTGGGCTTCGCCGTGGGTCCATTACTATGGTCACCATTGTCGGAAATCATCGGTCGACGGCCCGTCTATATCATCTCGCTGGCACTCTATACCATCTTCAATATCCCTTGCGCATTGTCTCCCAATATCGGCGGTCTTCTCACATCCCGCTTTCTCTGCGGTGTATTCTCCAGCTCAGGCCTGTCCCTCGCCGGCGGCACCATTGCAGATATCTGGAACATCGAAGAGCGTGGCATGGCTATAGCATACTTTGCAGCCGCTCCCTATGCAGGTCCCGTCATCGGCCCCATTGTCGGTGGGTGGATCAATGTCGGGACGCACCGCCTGTCGCTGATCTTCTGGGTGAACCTTGCGTTCGCGGGACTGATGCTTGTGCTCATGGCTCTCATCCCCGAAACATACGCCCCAGTCATTCTCAAGCGGCGTGCCGCACGTCTGCGAAAGGAAACAGGCGACCTGAACATCATCACCGAACAGGAAAAGACCAAGCTCACCTTCAGCGAAATTGTCAAGACCAGCCTTATCAGGCCGATCACGATGATTCTAACCGAGCCTGTCCTAGATTTGATGTGCATGTACGTGGTCCTCATCTACGCCATGCTGTACGCCTTCTTCTTCGCCTACCCGGTCATCTTCGGCGAGCTCTACGGCTACAATGACGGGCTTATCGGCCTTATGTTCATCCCCATCATCATTGGTGCAGGCTTTGCCCTGGTCGCAACTCCCCAGTTTGAGAAGCAGTTCAGACGCACTTGTGCACAGAGGGCTCCTACCGCTGAGGATCGACTTGTCGGCGCTATGGTTGGCGCGCCTTTCATCCCCATTTCTCTCTTCATCCTGGGAGCAACGTCTTTTAAGCACATCATCTGGGTAGGACCGGCCAGCTCAGGGCTCGCGTTCGGCTTCGGCATGGTTTTATGCTACTATTCCGTCAACAACTATATCATCGACTCCTATCAGAAGTATGCGGCCAGTGCCCTGGCCGCCAAGGTGTTCCTCAGAAGCGGTGGTGGTGCGGCTTTCCCGCTGTTTACCACCCAGATGTATCATACGTTGGGGCTGCAGTGGGCCAGCTGGTTGTTGGCGTTTATTGGTGTCGGAATGTTCTTCATTCCCTTTGGATTCTATTTCTTCGGCGCAGCGATCCGGGCAAGACTGAACAAGGAAGAAGTCGTGGAGTATGAGAAGAATGGACCTGTGGCCCCAGCCTCGTCATAGGGTAGAGACACATATCGAGATTTCTATAGATGAGGATGTAAGTTAGAGGTACTGTTTAGTGGAAATTAGCGACGAACCAATGTTGTCCGCTATTGCGACATTCCCTGCTTGTTAGCAACAATACGTCTTATTTCTTCTCTGCTGAAGGATGGATTCCGCTGTGGTATCAGGCGATATCTTTCCGTTCTCACATGCGCATCATCTTGCGATTGCATATGCGAGTTAAGCGACTGTGGAGAACGCGTGATTAGTGAGACACTGAGTGGCAGAGGCTACGGCCCGTATCAGTACCTTCACACAGCGGTGCCAGTATGCCATAGTCTTAAGAGCGACAGAGCCGTCTGGAAAGGATGCCACTGAAACCATCGTCATGTGCAAGTGAATCAAAGTGAGGCCAAAGTGAGAAGCCTGGAGGATGACGAGATTCGATGACGCGCTTCAACCGCGTGCGTCTCCACAGAAAAGTTTCGAGAGTCAAACTGCTGTCCCTCCTCGCCTCGTGCTCGCTGGTCTTCCGCTCTAACCATCCGCACTGCGCCCACTCAGTCTTCGATGAGAGGTTTCGAGGCGCGATTGCTCAGCGCATATGGACATAGGCTGAGTCCACGGACACCACCCTCTCCCGCAGCATTTCTCGAGCCGGCGAAATGGCGGCAGCTCGTCCACTGCCGAGCCAGTTCGGCTCAGGCGAATCGTCGAACAAAGTCCCTTGACCGCACGACTCCTAATCCGGCAAATTCACACCACGAAGAACAGCCCGCGTATCCGTCCATACCGCTGGAAGGCTTCGTGCCAGCGACACCGATCTCGGATCGAGATCTCGCGAGCACGAGACCCGCGAAGCTCGAGACGCCGGCGCCGTTGAAACAGGAAGACTACAATGGCCAAATACCGATCGGCGACCGGGCACGATGGTTCTTCCGTCTCGGCAAGTCATACCTGGCCTTCTACAAGACGGGGTTCAAGAACGTGTGGCAGAATTACAAGGAACTGAGGAAGATCCGCGCCGTGGTGGGAGGAAACCGCACGCTGGAGGATGTGGTCAAGTATGGCGTCAGGGGCGCAGGCACAGGCAACGACGATTCCGTGCCCGCACCAGTTCTCACGCGCAAGGACTACCAGCTTGCTCTCCGGACACGGCACGACGTCGGGAAACTGGTGCCCTTCTCGATCGTGTTCGCCATCTGCGGCGAGTTCACGCCGCTGGTCATCCTGGCGATCGGATCCGCCGCCGTGCCGTACACGTGCCGCATCCCCAAGCAAGAGCAAGGTGATTTCCTGCGGCCCGTCAAGATCCAGCCCAGATACGCGGCACAAGTGGAAAGGATCCTCGCCCGGGCGGCACAAACACCCCAGAGCGGCGTGCAAACCCCGACGAGCATGCAGTGGAAGCAGGAGTTCGTCCAAGCCTACCGTCTGCATGTGAATCCGTTTTCGTATCCCGCGCCCGTGCTGGGACGCTGGTGGCACACAGTCTACTCGCGGCCGCGGCTGCAGCGGCACTGCGAAGAAGTCCTCTGCGACACGATCCTGATCCGGCGAGAAGGCGGGTTTGACAAACTGCCGCCGCGCGAGGTCTTTGATTGGAGTCTGAAATACGGCCTGCGCACGCTCACCGAGTACATGGACGATCTGCAGCGCGAGGGGCTGCCTATCGACCCGGACTCGCCGGAGTTGAAGAGACTTCTGCTCCCTGTCGTCGAAGCCGAGGCCGAGTATATCCTCGCCGTCGATTGGGAGCGGCTCAACCCGCAGAATCATTGGCTCGCGGTGTTTAGACCTATTTGGCCGGAGAGGCCCGTCACGCCGGATGATGTGCACCTTGCGGAGCGCTGAGGGTGGTTGTACAGTAATAGAAGAGGTCTGTATTTTGTATACATGTACGAATACAAAGGTCGGGCAGGTTTGAACTTCTTAAACGAACCAAACACCTGTCTATGCTGTATGTGTTCTGCCTGTGTTTTCAAACTCTTCGATCAATTCATAGTTTGCAGGGAGCTGGTCTGGTCTGGTCATATGGCCTCTTCTTGTCGACCAGACTACTCCTAATCTCTGTTCCGTCGTTCCTCGCTAGTCTCCGTTCCGCGTCATTGTCGTCGCCGCCGCTGCATTGGGGAGTATCACACCTCGGCCGTCCATTGACACAGCTACAGTATTCCACGTCCTGTGGTAGGCTTTAACGATGTCTGTCCTATTAGCGCACGGCACAGCACAGCACAGCACAGCCTTCGTCTCTCGAGGTAGAATCACATGACCTGGCTGTGCCTGTGTGTGCCTGTGTGTGCCTGTGTGTGCCTGTGTGTGCCAGGCCCCCCAAAGTGAACCTGGTGATCCATGTTCCTCTGACTCTAGCTCAAGTCTCACCTCCACTGGATATGACTCCTACAAGCCGAGCCCGCTGCCGAGCTTCGTAGAGACGGTGGGGAACATATACACCCAGAGTAATAGGATCTGAGTACGGGAGTGCATGCCTTCGCCCATCTTTCTCCAGCATATACTCTGTAGGGACGGAGAGAGAGAGAGAGAGAGTCAGATATGTCCTGTGAAGCTTCATTGTTAATACACTAGCGCGATGGTGATGGGGATGAAAACCTGCGGGCGAGCAGATAGATAGATAGATAGATAGATAGATATAGATAGGAACGTACGTACCGGACAGAGATCGGCAGGCGAGTTCTTCCATCCGTGATGGACGAATACCGCATTGCATCCGCTGGTGCAGAGTTCTTCTTCGTCTCCGAGACAGGCAGAGAGAGGGAGAGCATTCGCAACCGTCACAGGTCGCTGGAGGACATGGGTGGCGTATATAGAAAGTGCCACGACAGCAGTAGAGCCGTTTAGACAATCTGGGAGGGCGGATGTCGCGGCAACGACATTCGAGCACGATGACGGAATAGGCTGTCTGTCTGTCTGTCGCTAAGTGTCGCTGAGTGTCATTGATTCGTGACGCTGTCACAGCCACAGAGGTGACCGGATCGAATCGAGATGAATCGAACACGAATCATTCTCGCTGCAGGCTGCAGGGCAATACATCCAGTACAGCACTTCGTATGCTCGCTATCACTTCGACTCGCCCCCGGTATTATACTCACACAGCTCGACCTGGTCGGAGGCATCGTCACCTTTGACGGGTCTGGTCGACGACCTGAACGATTTGACGTTCATCTTCGCTATACTCGATTGCGTGAGTGCCACTGGGACAGGTCGAGCCGCAGCCATGTCGGGCCCGGAGACAGATCCGTCGCGGTGCGTGCTTGTCAAGCCGCAAGTCGGAAAATATCGGCGCAGGACGACGCGCAGCGAGGGCATGCAGATGCAGGCGATGCCGACGTTGAACTCGAGGTCGGACCAGTATCCGAAGGGCACGAAATCCCCTGCTCTCACCGTTAGCCACCCAGTTCCATGCTTCTCTTTCCTGCTGTGATATGCCGGGACTAGAAGTAGTTAACGTACAGGTTGGATTCCAGGTGTTGTTCAACAAGGTCATGCTCCAGAGTCGTAAGATACTGACTAGAGTGACGCTGTTGGGAGCGCGGGTAGATCAGTAACCAAGTATCTCCTACAGCACGGCGTTGTCGTCGCGACACTTACAAGAATCCCACGCAGAACATGGATATAACCTGGAACTTCTTTCTTTTGGACAGGCTCAGACTCCACAGCTGCCAGATCGGCAGAGCGAAGATCAGCAGGTCGAGTAAGATGTTGGTGATGGCATGCATGACGGCGCCGAGGTCGAAGTTGAGACACTTGCCCTGCCCGGTGCCGTCCCACTGTGTCCAGGCGTAGGATACGGGGCTGCATTGGAAGATGAAGAGGAAGGTGAACGTAAGGCCGTGGAGAACGGTCGCTACCAGCAGAGGGAATGCCACCCAGCGAAATATCCTGGAGGAAAAGAGCTTGATGTAGAAGACGAGGAATGCGACTTTCGTGCTCGCAATGCCCACAGCATAGAGGACGCCGCCAATGTAGAATATCTGTCGCGGGCGTCAGCGTCAGCGTCAGCGTCAAGTAGCATCGATGGGCCTCCCTATCGCCCGAGAAGAGTGCAGCATACCATCTCGACGGTCCTCGTGTCGTCGAAGGGCAGACGCCAGGTGTCGCGGCCGTAGCCATAGTGTCTTGCTAATACCACGATTAGCCATGGTAGACACGCGCATGACAAATGCGATCGGAGACGTACAAATGGGATTGCAGACAGCATTGCCAATCATCAAGAGCTGCTCAACAGTCAGCTGGACGCATACATAATCAGGCCGTCTTGCTCTTTCTTACGGTCGCAAGGCCAACCAGCACATCATCCCATCCCCATAGCACCCTGAAGTCAGGAGACATCGCAACGATGCGCGTGGCGACCAGACACAGCGCCACGGCCATCGAAGTGAAGGTGACGGCGCTGCTCGCCGGTCCGCGGTCCCTGTCGGGGAAGTTGCAGCTGATGGAGGTGACATTTTCAGCGGCTGAGAGACGTCAGTCAGTGCATGTGCAAGGGAGGATCCTGACCTCCGCGCCGGGGACGTACTCAATGCTTCACGGACGGTGCAGTTGGACTCCCAACACTGCTTCCCCAGGTCGAAGAGCGGAGGATCGGTGCAGAAGCATTGGATGCCGAACTTGCAGCCTGAAAATCGGCTGGTGATGTCGGAGGTGCAGTTGGCCTGGATTACAGACGCGTTAGATGGAGTGGTTCCACTGGAGGAAGATAACCCAGGCAGACTTACAGCACAATCAGACAGTGTCAGCGTCTCGCTATAGGCAAGTTGTCCCCAGAGGACGATGGTCAGGATAGCAATGAAGCCCTTGAGCGCCATATCAAATATCGGTCGCACGGGGAGCGAGCATCAGGAACAGGCGTCGACAAGAAGGATCTCGGCCAGATCGCATACCTACCCACCCAGTCATTCGAGAAAGGCCGATCTGGCGAAGCAGCACATGCTGATAGAAATAGATTCCGCCGCTCCTCCATCGCTAAAGAATCATCATGCCGAGGGACCGATGCAGAGTGTTCCAGAGCTGTTTGGCTACTGTAATTAGGCGAGTCAGCCACAGAGAGAGAGGGCCCAAGAAAGCAGCCTCGGGGCCCTGCAAGGCGGAACCTGGCAGTCAGAAACATACGCGTCGCGTGGTGGATGATCAGGCGCTATCCACATAAGCTTCGAAGAGAGGAAGACAAGGAAGATTTCAGGGGATGGTGGTCGAAGTCAAGATTCTGGCACCATCGTGCGGCCTCTTCACAAGGGCACAGGCCGAGATCGTAATGAATTTCTCGCTCGTGGAATGTGTCAGATGTGTGCAATACAGCCGTCGGTGCTGGCAAGGGTATCGCAGTAAAAGGTCTGCATTTCCTCGTATATCCAAACGGAAGCAGCTTCCCATCACTTTTCTTTCGGAACAAGGCGTCCAGGGACAAGGGGCATTACTGGCTGCCGGTTCGCCAAGATATGCCGACCAGCCGGGACATGTAGTCCCAACGCGAACACCTCGAGTCAGCCCCCCATGAGGCCAGGGCCCAAGTGCATGCCCTAAGGAAGCTGGGGAAGACCATGTGGCGGACCGTTTCAACGGCATCCGGCAAGCCTAACAGTAGTGGAGTGGTGGTCGATGGACCGGAGCCTTGGGACACGTCGAAACCTTGCGAGACTGGTTACTTGTAAAGCTCCTTGAAGGTGGTGAAGGGTAGACACACGCCGTAGACCGGATATCATCTGGTGCACACCATTCCGCCCATGAGAATACCATGTCTTGCCTGCTGTTTGTGTTGGGCTTTCGACTCCAATCTCCCTGGCCAGACAATAATCCCGCTGTGAGATTCCTGCGTAAATAGCATCCCGCCTAAGGCGTAGCGTGAACATGAAACGCCACAACGCCAACGCCCCTGCATAAGTTGCAAAGGCTGAAAATCCTCTCAACCTCGTCAAGCAATCCATCCAACGCCACGCGATTGCAACGGGACTAAGTTTCGTCGACATCGGGCTGCCAATTTGTCAATGTCATTATCATTGTCACTCTCGGACACCCAAGTCACCCAGTACACACACGTCCAGTAACAGCAGGCCCCGCACCATCCCGCGTAAATAAATCTGCTCGCAACGTCAGCACTGATATGGCACGTTCAAACCAGACAAATCGACGTCTCTCGGGCAGGCAAGACGTGGTAGGCCTCTCCGTCCATCAGGCCATGCACATAGGCAGGCCCCACAAGCTGGTACTGCTCTCCCGTTCCCTGGTCCGCAGACCTCAGCACCGCGGGCATGGGCGCCCCGTTGAACACAGCAATCCGATCCCCAACTTGTGACAGACTTGGCCCCACCCCCATTTTGCCGTCGTTGGACAGGAAGAACTTAGAATACGGTAAAGTAAAGCCGGTCAATTCCCACCACTTGGTCGCACCTTCAAGGTGGCTGGCGAGCGCCGTGCCTTGCGTGACTGTGTCCCCATTGTAATCGTAGTTGTAGGACTCGAGCAACTGGTACACCTCCATGCAGTCGCTGAAAAACCGCTCCAGTTCACGGGGGTTCGAGATTGGGACACGCGGCGCCTCTGACGGCAGAAAATCAGCTTCCATGTGAGAGATGTTGCCGCACAGGGTGCGGCAGAAATCCTCTGTGCGAGAATGGTGCGGAGGGATGCGTTGCTGGAGTAGAGCAAACGCCTCTCGGAACCATCCGCCCATGATTTGCACGCTTCTGAGTAATCTGGAAATAGCGTCAAGTTCGAGCACCTCAGGATAATCGTCGAACGTCGGGCAGGGGGTCGTGATGTACTGGATCTGAGAGGTGATGGTGCCGGTAGCAAACAGGCTGTGCGGCAGCGCGACGTCAGGGTCGTACCAGACAGCAGGCTTAGTTCTGCCGCCAGCTTTGTACCCTGCGCTGTGAGCCTCGGTCCACATTGTTCGAAGGGACCGATACTCCCATACGGGTACCCACGAAGGGAGGGCGTCAAGACTGGCCCTGTGCCTTTCGTCAAAAGCCTTGAAAAATCCGTGGTTCCAGCTGCGAGCCCCTGCGTCACCGATGAAACTCAGTTCGTTGTCTGGACAAGCGGAACCGTCGCAGTCACAGCGCGAAGACTGCGACTTGGTGAAGTACAGGGCTAATTGGTGGTATAGCATCGCCACAGTATATTGCGGTCTGGCATCGACTCGGATCGCGCCGCTATCAGAACAGAGCCCCAGCAAGGCGTAGACTCGATCTCGGAGATCGGAAGCGTTCATACCTCGCGTGAGACGCATCAGTTGCTTCAGCTTGAGGGGAAGTGGTTCCGTGGGTGCGACTCGCCGCCGTCTTTGCTTCTCCAGTTCTTGCCACAGAGTGACGAACGCTTTGTGTCTCCCTAACCAGAGCCAAACCTCGTTTGCAGTCAGGGCCGAGGCGTAGCCGGTCATCACCATTTCGATGTAGCCTATCCGCATCAGGCAGGCAAGTTGCTCGCAAAAGTCGGCCCATTTGATGCGGTATGTGCAGCAGTGGATGACAGCGTGCGAAGAGAGAGCAGCCTCTTGCAACATCCAGCTGCGTGAGAAGTAGACCTTTTGGAGCAGCTGGTTCAAGGCAAGAGTGTTGACGACTGCGAACGTCGATGCCCACTTGCTTGCGAACGCTTGTCGAGTCTCAATGTTGTTGAAATGCGTGTATCCAATTTTGAGGGTCTCGAAGGCCTGACGGACCAAAAGGGCATTGTCCGAAGGCTCTTCCAGCCAAATGACGGTCTCCTTCGCTTTTCGATAGATGTGCTTCATCATCGCTATCTGTTCGGCTTTCTCGTCAGGGTCATGTTGAGACATGCAGCAGCAGTCGATCCACATATACATGGGGTCATGTCGATTGAGCACAGAGTATAGAATGTCCAGCATGCCTCCATAAAGCTCGATGTAGCCGTCATCGCACGCTATCTGCTCTAGCCGGCGAAAACGTCCCGAGAGCTTGCTTACACTGACCGGATATGACAGAGCAATGTACTCTGGGTGGTCCCGTAGGCTGACTCTGTGCAATTTACATGATATCGGGCTCTGCGGTGTCGGAACCGGACTGAACTCGACGAGTCGGAAACAGTCACTGGTGGGCGGTAGCGGTGTTAGGCGGAAAGAATGATACCGTGGCTCAGCATCGGCATCGTGGTCGTTTGCGCCGCTTGGATAGGTCGAAGGCTGCACGTTAATGGCCAGCTTCTTGAAACCGGTAATCAGCGGGTCAGTCACGTATCCCTGATTACTACTCGATGGCCTCTCCGGAATCTGCGGTTGAGTAGGATTTGTTGTTGGCCAGATTTGCTTCACTGGCGGCGCAGATAGAGGTCGAAGCGGGTATTGGAGCCACGGCGAGTTCCAAGCAGCAGGAGCAGCAGTAGCAGCAGCAGGTTGCATCAATGGTTGAAGATATTGGTTAGCTGAAGACGGATTCGGATACTGATACGGTGGATACCCTGTCTGAGCAGGAGAGGCTCCGTACAAGGGCCCCAGGAGGGGACCAGAAAAACTGTTCGTCGCTGCAGCTTGAAAGTTCTGAGGTGGAACATAACCGGCTGTAGGAGAGGAGGCGCTGCTGGTCCCATACTGGTTCTGAGCAGGAGAAGCTCCGTACACGGGCCCCTGGAGGGGACCAAGAAAACTGTTCGACACTGTGGCTTGAAGGTTCTGAGGTGGAACATAACCGGCTGTAGGAGGGGAGGTGCTGCTGGTCCGGTACTGGCTCTGAGCAGGTGCACCGGAAGCGGCGAGTTGATCCTGCACAGAATGGGAGAAGATAGAACTCATCGTGATGGCCCCGGACGTCGGTGCCAGTAAAGACAGAGTATTGCACGAGAGAAGGGCATGCGGACAATGAGGCGGTCGGGCAGGTTGGTCAGGCTGGGCCCTCAGCTCGTTGATATACGGGAGTTCGCTAAACCCTCATTGTCCTAGTTCGTGCAAAGTCGAGCCCAGGCCTTCTCGTATTGTTGGGGGCTTGGGCTCGTGACCCCGACCCAACACGAGGACCACGAAACCCTGACAAGAGTCGCCCAAGAAAATGTCGTACTTCAGACGTAAGGCTGGCTACCGTATTCAGACGATGGAACAATCGCAATAAGACTTCCTGTGACGAATTTGCACGATATGTTTCTCTTCATTTCTCTAAAGGAATAGCGTCATATCTCGCCAATCGCACATTCAGAAGGTCAAGACTCACTTACCTGGCGGCAACTATTTGTTGAGGTTCTTGATCAGAACCTCAAGAATCTCTTCCAGGAAGTCCAGATCGACTTCGGTCCGACACAAAGGACAAGTGGCCTTCTGGTCTGCGTCAATCTGTCTGAAGACCCAAGGCAGCAAGCAATCAAAGTCGAATGGCTGGTGGCAGCATGGTGAAACCATGGGTGCAGGAACAATCACATTTTCCTCCGGGACTGGGAAATCTTGTTGGCAAATTGGACAGCTGTTCTCCGCTTTCTGCCTACGCATTCGCTCCGGAATTGGTGGTGGAACAGTGGCGGAGGACCAAGAGCCGAGTATGTCTGCGGTATAGTCAATTCGCTTCAAGCGCTCCGACTTGAGTTGAGCAATGACGCGTCTGAAGGTATTTTGCCACTTGGCACGTTCGAATTGAAGTGCCTTAACCTTGAAAGTATCGTCAGTTGTGAGCCATTGCTCTTCCAGAGTCACAAGATACTGCTCGGTGCGAGCGAGACGCTCTCGTACTTGATTAAGGCTTCTCTCCATATTCCGAATGACCCCGGTATGATCAATCAGCAGCACATTTTCAGGCTGGATCGCGTCTTCGCCGCCGCCCGGCTTGAGTGAGTTCAAGTCGAGGTGGTTCTGGCGAAGCAATTCCATGGCATGTTCTTTTTCAGGAGAACCAGATAGACCTTCGACATGGATAATGGCGATTAGCCTAGCGTTGATGTATTTGAGCACGGTCTTGATACTGGTAAGGCCAAAAATCTCATGTGAGATAGCTAACGGTTCAGGTCACTTTCAGAGTGACGGGGTCCGGGCAGCCAGCAGGAAGGTGGATCAAGCCCCCGCCGTGGTCCAAACCATGTCGGAATCGCTTCCCATGAACGCGGTGCAAGACAAAGAGCCCGATTACCTGGCCCGATAGCCTCGCGGATCCAAACAATGTCGTCATCTTCAGTGGAGGCCCCTGATTCCAACGCGCCGAGGTACATTCTTAGTCGACTCTTGCCGATTCCAGTAGTGCGTAAGAGGAGATTCGCAAAGGCCTCAAACATAGCGTCATCTAAATCACTTTGAGAAGTCGCTGACGGAGAGGTTGGAGGAGAAGCCATTTTTGGTGGGTGTGGAGTTGTAGCTTTGTGGGTGTCTGAAGATGTTAATCCGAGGGTGTGAATGTTAATAAGTGAGTTGAGAGTGAATTGAAGGGGTAAGTCAATAGCTGTGTTGGTGAATCGAGAGTTGAGTTGGCTGGTCAAGGGTCGATGATGAAGCTTTTGTTCTCCATTAGAGCAAAGAAATGAATTCATCTGTTTGACACAATGGGCTACAAAGGAGGCTGAGTATTGCTCTTTGTCGAGGAGATATCTATCAAACACTGGAAGCCGTTGCCCCTTTGTGTCCCCTTTGTGGTAGCAAGGGCTCGACAGAGGTCCAGTGGAAAGGCGGGATACCGCACGCAAGGCGCTGTAAGGTGTATCCTGTTACATAGACTCGTGATTCTCGGTGCAAACAAGATGTGCCCAGAGCTGTGGACGTTGTCAGACTGAGAGGTATGAAGATGCTTGAAAGGAGCTACAGCCTGAGGAACGTAGACGACTGTGCGTCCTGATCATGCGGATCTGGCAGTTGCCAATGATATATTGGGGCCTGAGGTGCATCGGAGGATTCTTAAAGAAAAGTCTGCCATTTGTAAGTCGGCCGTGGACTTGATGTTGGTCCTAGTCAAGTTCATGTGAGATCTGGTTCCCGAGCAGTAATCACCTGGTCAGTCCAAGCTTGACAACGGCCATCAGAGAACGTTGTATTTCTTTCCAGAACATTTTGCGTCCATTTCTCTGAGCGAGGTCACCAGCGGGTCGTCAGTGGCTTTAAGCCCGCCAACTGTGGCCAGTTGCTGTACCAAAGTATAGGGCGCGAGGGCCAAGTGAGCACCGTGAGGTGACACGGCCTATACCAAGGGCAAAGCTGTCAAACACGCCAAGCCAGATCGCTAAGAAGGGTTAGCCGTGGAGAAGCAACGCGCATCGCTCGCGTCAGACACGCGTCTTACTCTCAAGGGAGAATTAGGCAGATACGCAACTGACCATTATGACTGCAATGATTACTCCGTACTCCGTACATACCCCGACATACCTGGTGTTCCCAGCATTGCCTCTTGCCTGTTCCCGAACTCACGTGGGCGCACAGCCTGGGAGAAACGTCCTCGAACGTCTCGCGCACTTCCTCCACGAGGCCGCTGAGATTACGGGACGCGCGGTCTGCTTGGAACACTCACGCTTCCAGAACTATGCGTACAATGCACATGACGGTCGCCTAGGTGCGGTTCATGGCGCTATTTCGAATGCTGTTACCACAGGGCGGAGTACTTCAGACAGCTATTGCGACGTCGGTAAGCGTGATATCTGCCTCTGTGATGGCGGCATCGACAAGGAATTTGCCGTCATGTGGACCATCATCTTTGATGTCTGGTTCAACAGACATGATTGCGGTCGCTGACGGACTCTCGAGGTTCGCCACCGGATCAAATAGCGCCGTTCGACCTCGCCGACGACCGATCGCCGGAACGACATCCGCGCATCATCTGTCCATCGGCAAAGATGCAATCGCCGGTATGGCAGTGGCCAAGAGGAGCTCAATTCACGAGAATTATGCGTGTCTACCATTTGGAATGCGCTGCTATAGGAGCACGAGCGTGAAATGATCCTTACGAGCGTTGCGTATGCGTTCATTTAGAGCGCTCTATACTTGGCTAAGGTTCGTCCTGAACTCATAGGTCGGGTTCAGCCGCGTCCAAAGCCAGCGACCCCGGAAACCTGTGACAGCACTGCTCCAGAATTTCTATTGGCGAAAGGGGTTGACGTGAATGGGCTTGACAGGCCATTCTGCACCAGAAGACCCAACCCATGGAACAGAGAAAGACCAGTTGCCGGATGAGAGCTCCTGAATGCTTTGCTTTCTTTCCGAGTCCGCTACACTGGACGGGAGAACCAATTCCACAACCACATTTGCCGGCACCACGACGGCAACTTGGAGAGCGTTGGGTTGCTCGCCATCGACCTGCTCGCCGCCCTTCCGATCCAGGCTCCAGGTACATGACAGCTCGCCGTACGGAGTCGGGACAGAAGCTTGCGAGTGCGTCAGGCCTCCCCCAGGAGTTGGTGTGAAGCTGGCCCTCTTCCAGCCGGGCTCGAGCCGTTTGAGTCCGACCATGCGTTCATAGAAGAAGGTGATGACCGCGCCGAACGCGTAGTGATTGAAGCTTGTCATGGAGCCGGGGTTGATTGTGCCGTCAGGTAACATGCTGTCCCAGCGCTCCCACACGGTGGTGGCACCCATCGTCACTGGGTAGAGCCACGACGGACACTGCTCGTTGAGCAGCATACCGTACGCCACGGTGGTCTGGTTCGCCAGCGCGAGGGCCTCGCACACGAACGGTGTTCCCGCGAAACCGGTGCCGACTTTGAAATCGTTCCTGCACACTATCTCTGCCAGACGCTCTCCGGCGCGCATCTTTTGCGCACGTGTTTCGAAGAGGTCAAAAACTATAGCCAGAGCGTACGCGGCCTGTGAGTCTGAGACCACTCTACCGCTGGGCGAGATGTACTCGTTTTGGAACGCTGACTTTGCTTGCTGGGTCTCGGATCTGTATCGTTCAGCCGCGGCGCGATATGCATCTGCCTGGGTGCTCCCGGCCTCTAATAATGCACACACGTTCGCCATGGTCTCGAGGGAGTGGATCAAGAAGGCATCAGCTAATACACTATCGGTCTGTGCATTCGCAGCATCGTGAGGCGAGGCCGAAGGATCCAGCCAATCCCCAAGTTGGAACAAGTTGGGATCCCACAGAATGGTGCCTCGCGTTTTGTTTCGTGGTATCCGGTCCAGCCAGGTAGTCATGCTCTCGTACGAAGAGGCCAGTATGGTCGAATCGCCCGTGGCCTGGTACAAAGCCCACGGTCCGAGGATGTTGCAATCGTGCCAGATGACGAACGGGGTTACCTTTCCCCAGACCGAGTCCTCTTTGACCACATTGGGGCTCACCACCGGTGGAATCCCATCTAGCTCATCCTGATCTCCTCTGACGTCGACCAACCAATTTGACACGAGGCCATAGCAGTTGTACAACAATGTCGCGGCCGGAGCGAACAGGGCGAGATCCCCGGTCCATCCCAGTCTCTCATCACGCTGCGGGCAATCGGTTGGGATGGAAACAAAATTGCTGCGCATGCTCCACTTCACGTTTGTATGCAGTTTTTCCAATCGAGGGTCGGAACAGGAGAAGGTCCCAACGGGCTCCATGGCGGAATGACACACCATTACCTCGAAGCAATCCATCATGGAATTTCCCGCCTCCGCTGAAGCCGGCCACCCCGTCCACTTGCGCATACCGGAATCCGTGGAACGTGAACCTGGGCCTCCAGGACTCTCCCTCAGTTGCACCACTGAAGGTATACTGATCGCAGGCGTCCGCCTGGCGCAAAGGTCGTCTTCCCAGCTCACCATGTTCGAGGACCTCGGCATGGAAGAGGGTTATGGTCTGTCCTCTTACTCCCCTGACCTTTTTGATCCGTGTATAGCCCGTGCAGTTCTGGCCGAATCAAGGATGGATTTGCCGCTGGGTGTGTAAATATGGCGAACAGGCTTCAGTACCTCGACTGCCCGGACAGGTTCACCCGTGCCTGGAATCAATTTCGTCGTTTCTGGGAGGCTCTCGAGTGCTGTTGCATTGCGCCAGACACCTGGATTCGTGCCGCCTCCAGTGGACCAGCCCGGGATCTCGAGATTTGCATCGTATTTCTCCCCGTCATAGATCTCGGCTAAACGAGTCGGCCCCGGCGTGGTCTGCCATGTGTCATCAGTGCAGATGACTTCTTGCACGCCGTCTGCATATTGTATCTCTAGCTGCGCGAGCAAGGTCATCTCGCTAACCGGCGAAGGCAGCGCCGGGTCAGTGCTCAGACACTGTTCGACTATCTGCGGTTCACCATCACCAACGTCCACAACGGTGGCAACGACGCCGTCTACGAGCTGCGAGCCTACATTGCGCAAGAGACACTGAGGGACCACCTTGGCGATCCTAAAATCCCCAGCCTTGGCCTTCCATTACTCGGTATGCACGGAGAAATAGTGGAAGAGTCTCCTGTAGCCATTCCTTTGCCTCTGCCTGTCCCAGGCCAGCTATCCCACTCCGGATCTCGCGATTGATGATTGCTGATTTGACATAGAAGGTGCGTGGCAGACGCGAGCGGCGAGCGCTGATGATCAGGCGGCGACACAACCAGGGGAGATCGAAGAACTGGATGGTCGTGTGCAATTGGCTTGTAGAGGGGCAATCACTGCACACAAGGTAAGATTTGAGGATCCCCGACAAGCAGTCACGACATGGAGCTGGTCTTGATGTATGAATTGCTTTACCAATTTTATGACAGGAAGGGATTCATGTATCGACTGGATGACAGGAAGAGATTCGTGTATCGACTTGAAGACGTTAAAGAGTTCATGCGCCGACTTGAAGACGTTAGAGAGTTAATCTATCGTCTCTATAAAAGCTCTCTTCTGCTAGGTGAGCACACTGATCTCAATGAAAGGTTACAAGACAGATGTACAACGTACGTCAACTCCAACGTGACATTACTTGGTGAATATGCTGTGAGTACTGTGTCCTACCCCCTGGAGGTCGCATGGCCCTCACATGTGTTGAAGAGGTGGCAAATAGGTCGTGGTGTGGATGCACACCTCCCTCCCTGTCACTCCCGCAAAATACAACCTTTGATCCTGACTCCCGAGAGTGACTGACTATAATTACTTACTGTCCCTCCCCGATGGCCGTCTGCTGCTGTTGGTTTGCTCGGCCAATTTCCAGCTGCTAAACCTGCCACTTACCATATAACTGCTCACATCAAGTAAACGCACGCCCAGTGACAAGGCCAAGGACACGACAGTACATATATATGGCCTTGCGCGGGCCATCTTCGTTTCTCGAAAAAGAGGTCATTCCCCTCTTTGAAACACGCCCAGCAGTTCTGGGTTCCCTTCTAGACTTCAGCACGCGACTTCAGAGACACAGGAACAAATTACATCTACGTCTCCATCGGACACAAGCTTCATTCTCCAGCCATGTTCGGGCCACGCCGTCCTCGTCGTCGTCGTCGCCCACGAGGCATCCGCCATGGAGAAGAAGACTACTGGAACCCCGACATCGCAGCGCTCGTTCCCGGACGACAATCAGGCTACTATGGCCATGGAGATCTCGGAGAAATGACAGGCCCGGAATTCTACCTTGATCCCCTCACGGGACGAGTCAACACGGGACATAACCATGATTTCACGCCCAGGAGCCGCACCCGAGGAGGCAACCGCAATCGCTCTAGGGGGTGGAGTATCAATGAGAACACTACAGAAAACATCACCGACGGCAGGGGTAGTACAAGTGCATGGGCCAGCGTGAATGATAGCTCATGCTCTTTCGAAGTCTGGAATAACGGGCGATTAGTCGCTAGTTCAAGACGTCCAATGGGTGAAGGTGTGGGTATTCGTCAGATCCGACGTCCCGCTGGAGTTGTAGACATCCATATCGGCGGCGAATTCGATGGCTTCGCCAGTCCGGGCGGATTTGGGGGGAGACGGCTTCGAGTCCGGGGACGTGGTGGTCATGGCGCAAGATCCCGTGGTGGATTCGGCGGTATGCCTGGCGGCGGGTTTGATTGCTTCGGCCCCGACTGTGACGACGACCCGTTCCTAGACATGTTCGACGACCTCGATCTCTCGGACTATTCGGACGATTTTGGTGGCGGCGGCACTTCTGGGGCTTGGGGCGAAGATCCCTATAGTGGAACGAGAGGACCAGGCCGCGTTGGACGAGGAGGTGCTGGAGCGTCGCGACATGGTGGCGGCGAATCCGATGATGATTGCGATGATGAAAACGAAGACGGAGTGGCGGGCGGGCATGAAAGTCGTCGAGGGGCCGGCGACCATCAACTCGTGGTTCGTGGGCCTGGTCGTCGACGGTGGTGAGGTCGAGCGGCTCATACTTTCCTGGAGAGCCTGACTGGGTCCTGAGAGCCATGGTCTGAAGTTTTGTTACACGGCCAGTCTGATGCCATTGATCACAGCGAAGCGATCTAAGGGGCTGACCGAGCAAGCTGTTTCTGTCACCAAGGGAGTCCAGGTTTGATTTTGGTTGAGTATCCCCATCCACGACCGAACGACGTGAGCTTCTCTTAATCGTGCATCTTGCCCAGGTAGAATTGGACGAAACTAAGACATTTGAATAAACTCGGTGAGACTACGTCGGGGAATGAGTCGCAGCAGTGGGTCTCTGGACCGAGATGAGATTTTGGCACCTATATCCCTATTCAGGCCTCTACAGTCAAATCGAATGGGTTCGTTGGACTGCTTATCGTTGCTGGAGAAACCAAATCTCATCGTCTTGTAGCGTAACGAAGTGAGCATCGGCACTAATCAGGAATTCACGAAGGCCCTGAGCAGTAATGTCTCCATCAATGAGCCCTTTCACGCCTAAGGGCGCCTCCAGCGTCATGGGGAGATTGACTGCCCAGTCGTTGACATCGTGGAATTGCTTGACCATCGCTCGGTGCGCGAGGAACTCAGCCGAGGCGTGGACAGCTCCTTCTCTCTTGCACGTCTTGTAGACTTGCTTGAGGTATCTTAGTATGCTGCGCAGGTTGGTTTCATACAGACACTCGCCAGTCTGTGACGTATTTTATTAGCTTCGTCCAGGCGCGAGGCGATATCCAACGATGTCGCAGGGCTGGTGGTACAACACACGAGCGGAGGAGGAAGGAAGGGCACATACGGTCACGATACTAGGCATTTCTGGGAGTTCCAAGGGCTGGTCATACAGCTTCGCGAGTTCCTCCAGTGTGTGTGCCCTCATCAACTGGATGAAGCAGATAACGTCGAAGCCTGCCATGTTGACCTTCGTCATGGCGCAAGTCAAGGGGCAGAGGATGTGGAAACGAGGATCCAGTCACCAAATGTTGTCTTTGAAACGGTCGTAGGTTAGAATGGAGAAGAAAAGGGGAAGGGCCTGGAGAGTCGAGGAAGTGCTGTATCGAAGATAAACATTAGTGGACGCGACAACTGCTTTGCAAGTGACTGGGCTACAGTAGCAACGAGTTGTGAAGAGGGAGCTTCCGACACTACGCATGAATGGTAGCTCCTCAGCGACAGGCAGTGCCAGCAAGGTGTATGGTGTGAAGGAGAGATATAAAGCTACATTTCGCGTATCACTAGTGAATTTGCCTAACCAGGCAACAAGCGTGGGAACTAAACAGCTTCTATCAGCCGGGCCAGGGAAGACTTTCTATGGCATCTGAGATGAGTCAGATTTATGCTCCTTTGCTTGCCGGAAACAACGCAGAAAGAATCGAAAGGGAGATCGACTACTTGTTAGCCGTGGCCTTGAGGTAAAAGCAGCTGATCCGAAAACACCATCATCATCATCATCATTCTTGCCAGCACTACCAGAGCATTGTTCTATCTGGAAACAAGACAGCTCATAAGCAAATCCTTCTAACCAGCAAAGACAGTCCAGCATTACAAGGAGTACAAGTGTTCGAATGTGGCCAGCATCCCAAGAGAGACGAGGCATTCCGCCTGCCGGTCGAGGGACTGACAAGAAGCAAAGATTAGAAGAAGGAAAAGAAGATAACCCATACACAAACGCCAGCAAACAAGCCAATGCAGGCCTCGACAGGAAGCATTCCATTCTCACCATTCCCATAGACGGTCAACGCTAGGATACACGCCAGCAAAATGATAGCCCTCCCAAACCGTCTCTCCTTCATGCGTATACTCAGCCACTCTTTGCGTGAGCCTTTCCTCGCTCTTGCAATTGCGCTTCTTGTCTCATCTTGTAAGCCTTGTAGTGCTGGGCACTCCGTTTGGCGTCGAGCCACTTCTGATACGCGCCGACATAGATCCAGTGTTTCTTTGTTTCGTCGCGAAAGGCTCGATATCTGCGCTGCTCAAAGGCTTCTCTCATGTCCGCCCATCCCCTGATCTCTGGAGCATCGAGCATGGCATCCTTGTATTTCGATTCGTAGAGCCCAACAACTCTCTTCAGGCCTTTGGTCGCATATGTCAGATCAGCGCCTTTGACGTACGTGGGCAACTCATTGCGGGTCTTGCTGAACAACCTGGCCCAATCAACCGTGAACACAGCCTTGGTCTTCGATCGCTCGAATCTCTGGGCGAAGTCTGGGCCAAAATAATCCTTCACGTCGCAGCGGACCTGCTTACGGCTCAGGCATGCGTCTTCGCCACCAACAACGCCAGCATTAGCAGGTAGATAGATCTTGATGAAATATTTGATCATGTTGAGGCTGTGGGGATCTGGGCTCTCGTTCTCACCGTTGTTCGATCCGCTGAGCCGGTCATTCACTTCCACTCTGAAAGCTGCTGGGTTGTGAAACCGACATGTCATCGCGTAGTCCATCAGGTCTTCCCACGTCCGGAATGTCTCGATACGTCTCTTCTTCAGACCGAGGTACTGGGCAATGTCTGCTTTGTTGGTGGCAATCTTGACGCACGAAAGTCGCTTGTCCGTTAAATCGACATCCTGGATTCGTAGGTACAGGCCGTCAGGCTTGTATGTGAGTCCGTGTGGGCTGATAATCTTGCCGAGCATGGTTCTGAGTCCCTGGTCGATCTTTGCTGTTCTGAAAGAGTCGAGTTCGCAGCTCGACTTCCAGACCTTGAGAATGACTTTGACGTATCTGGGGAAAGGGCCTTCTGTGATGGCCCCGGTGTCCGTTTCTTCTACAATGCCGTTCTCGGTATGGAAGATGTAGAAATCGATTTCAGATAACCGAGGCCATGGGTACAGAAACGAGTCAATGGCTGCATTGTCTTCGGATTCGTACTGGAGATTGAGCAGTGGCAGACCGAGCAGATCCCGAATATGCCTGTCGAGCGGCGTATCTGAGGAAGAAGGTTCTGCAAGAAGGATGGTGACGTCTCCGTACGTTGCCTCCTTGAACTTTTCCAGTGTACTGCTGACGGACCTGAACCCGTCGAGCAGTTTGGCCTGCAAATGGTAGGAGATGTGACGATGGACACCTGCTGGTATGGGATCGAACAGGGAGCTGTGAGGAGCGCTATCGTGAGATTGTTGGAATGAAGAGAGTAATGGTGATGGCAATGACGGTGTTTTCCCAAGCTCAAGAGTAGAAATCTTTATAGACCGCCCCTCAAGTTTGGAAACTGACAGCCAACCTGCCTTTGCTACGCTTCATGATCAAGCTTGCTGAACTTGACCACGCCACAGGCACATACCGATTGCTTAGCCGGCTGAGGCTGTGCTCAAGCTTTGCTATGCGACAGCACGAGACATGGCAAGCGATTTATGCAAGTTTGCGCGTCTCATGCTCCTTCAATTTGCCCCTGAGGATATTGGCAGCAGCAATATGCAAATATGTAAACACTTCTATTATCACAGAGCTGTGCAAACAAATGGCGGGCAGCAAATACGTAACGCCAATCGTGTCACTCGAGGATATTGCGAGGATTACAGAAACCCAGTCGAATCTGACCAATTACCTGTATACAACGGCTTGGGCATGGCCACGATCGAAATGCAGGAAATAGCAGGCTGGTTGAATCATCTGTCTGAACTAGCTGGTGGCGTTGCACGGCTTGCGTCGCTGCCGGTCATGAGTTCAAGCCTTCAAGCCTGCCAATGCCATGTTGCAGGCATCAATGCTGACGTCCCGCAAAGGGGACACAGGGTCACCACCAAAGCTCCCCTTGACGCAGCCAACATTGCTCATTCACCCAGCCGTTGCATCCCCAACCACTGCGTATTCTATCCAATCATGACCATGAGTCCAGAGCACGAGGGGAATGATCCAAGCTCATGCCTGAGACGTAAAAGAACCTTGCAAAGCCTGGGTGGCCGACTACAACCCCTGCCAAGTCCAGTACAGCATTGCTACCAACAGGCTCACCATGGCGCAGAAGAACAGCCACTTCGTGGTGGTTCTATCCTTAGAGACGGGAGTTGTGGCAAGAGTAGGTTTCTTCAGCTTATGTACTCGTCCGCGAAGAGTTTCGAGCGCCCAAAGAATTGTAGTTCGAATGTCAGGATACTTTTTTAAAGCTTCGTGGTGTCTGGTATCACTGCCTGTGGTCGCAGCGTAGTCTTCGTCCAAGAACTCCAGAAGCCTCTCGAGTTGCGTATTGCGAACAGAACTGTTGACACCGGCGTGCGGCTTCTCGAGTCGCTCGATGGTGATTGCCAGGGCGGTGATGAAGGCGATGGAAGCACCAGTATCGAAGACATACTCTGGCTTGCTCGAGGGCTTACGCGAGACTTGAGTGTTCATCTGGCCAAGCTGATTTACAAGCTCTGCCCGGAAGAAATTGAGGTGGTAGTCGGTGTCGATCATCTTGAGACTGTGTGGCAACTCTTTCTTGAACTGAGAGATCAGAGTTTCCTGTTTGAAGGAGTCTGGGACAGCATAGCGGGGGTTGTCGACAACGCTCGAGGTATTTGTGTTTGTCCCGATGGAGCTTTCCCCCTTGGTAGTCCCATTTCTACCAGCCTTTGTGGGCGTCGTCAGTGTATTGCCTATATTAAGCTGTTAGATTGGCAAGGAGACGAGGCAAGAACTGATTTAATACCAGAGGACTCGTGGCCACGATAAGGGGGAATGATGTATCTGGGGGCAGTAGCAGACTCGAAGCTCGTGTCAGCCATGATGAACAATTGTATAGGAAGACTTTGCGACTCAAGAGGTTGCTCAAGGGATTCTCTGCTAGCCGGAAGATGGGAGGCGAGGGGAGAACAAAAGCTGGAGTCTAGGACTGAGCAGAAGATATGCCCATGGAGGAACAGTGTTTGCTGTTCAATTCTTCTTACTTCCACGGTGAAATAATGAAGCTCAGACGGTGACAAAGGCGAGACACGTTATACGACTCATTAACTCTAGATTTCCCCCTCTGTTTAGCAAGCTTGTACAGCAGAAAGACGCGGAAGTGGTGAACAATTTACCCGAATGACAATGGGCTGAGGACAATAGGTCAAAAGCGAGCGCATCCCAAGCATATTCGACCCTCTATGGACTTTCCAAAGGGTCACGCATGATGAGTTACAGACACACACCACTTAGGCTTCGAGAAGAACTCAACAATGTCTCTTATTGTAGAATCCAAGGACATTTCAGCTTGGCAATCATGGAAGACAGGGCGCGCCTGCGCCCGCGCCCAAAGACAAACCAGAACAGATGCAACAAGGTTCAGACAAGAGACAAAGCAATCACTTTACTGCCGACAGACCTCGTTTTCAGGCTCCTAGGCACAGAACTATTGCCAGTCGTTTAAAGAAAGACGCCTTATACTGCTACAAACCCTGCAAAAATGCGGACAGACGAGGTAGCTGAGGCTCACGAGGCTCGCTGCGAAAGGGGCAACGCACGTGATCACAACCACAGACTGTTCTATTCCCATTCCCGTTACATTAATTCAACCCTGTGAGAGCTGGAAGAGCCGAGCTGGTATAGAGATTCACATAGCATGAAAGAATTCCTAGGGGTTTAACAGCTTGCTTTGTGTTTGAAAGGCTACCGGGGTGGCTGTGTAGGAACGCAGCGTGCTGCTGCACAGCCGAGAGTCCATCTTTGTGTAGTAACAGGGTGAATTTATGCACACCTCTTTTCTTTATCTGCCGTTAGGACAGGGTATGCTTACAGCCCAGTATCACTTAATGGTGCTTAAACATTCCAAGGGGCCATGAATACTATCGGCTATAAGGTGGAGTCGAACAGCTCTGGCCGTCCTCTGTGGAGTTCGAAACGCCCAGGCTACTGAAGCGAATGGCGATTGAGAATCATGAGCTGCTTAGCGGCTGCCCATAGGGTATTGGGCGGTTGGTATGATGGAAGAAGAAATTTGCAGAACTCAGATGTCCGGTTTACATCAGTGAGAAAGAGCAGCGAGCTGTCTCACCTACGGAGAGGGCATTTACTATGCTGTCATGAATCACGGGCCGAGCAACAGGATCTAGAGAAAGACACAATGGAAAGGTCAGCACTCAAGGTGCCCCAGCTGGACACACTGGAGTCTTCTGGTATTTGTAGCCAAAACATTGATTTGGCTTGTCGAAGCAAGAGTTGATGGCCTTCCCTTCCAGAAGTCATTGGCTTGCTCAACTGTCTTTCTGATGTTCGGCCTTTTGCCTGATATGATCCGTAATCCTGGCAAATATGTTCCGATCCTTACTCAGAAAGCCCTATCAACATCTCGACCCTAAGCACCACCTCGAGGATGATACAGTACATCGACGCGGCTATCCCTCATATCGCGATCCCTTTGGCGTTCTTGACCTTCTCCATCGCATAGTCCCAATCGATTGCCACCGTAGCATGGAAGCAAGCGAACACTGTCGCAAACTTCACTTTCCACCAGACTTCCGCTGAGAGTAGCGCAACAAGGAGGAGCCATCTGAATCTGCGAGCGAACGGTGGGTAGGCGACAAGGATGAGGGTGATAAGAATACAGTCAATGAACTGGCGTCGATCCAGAGCCATCAGCATGCATGTCAAGACCCCGGCAGCGGTCAGCATGAGTTTTAGTCGTGGGACTTCGGCGGCTGCAGCTGGTGCGACATGCGACCTCGGGGTTCTGAGCTCTGCCATCGCAAGACTGTCAGTGCTGCTGCTCTGGATTGGAAAAAAACACGACGTCAGCGTCAGACATTACCTTTGTTACCGAAGACATTCTTTGACGACGGATCATCATCCTTGGCCCGAGCTATAAACTCCAGGTCGAATTCGCCGAATTTTGAAAAGGCCGACATGATCGAGAACCGAGAGCGTGTTTGAGATTGGCGTTGGTATAGATAAACAAAGAGAATTCAGGGAATGCAGTGGATTAGGAAAAGCACAAGAGATGGTGGTGAGCATGATTCAGGCAGTGGCAGTCAACGAGCTGTCATGTTAAGCATCTGAGTACCAACGCAGTGATGACTCTTTCCTGCGCTAAAGAACAGCACCATGGCACGGCGAGTGGGCGATGACTTCACAGCTGCCATGTAAGCATAACAAACGAATTGAATCATGAAGGACGTTAATTTGAATTTTCGAAAGCCTTGATTGCGCCAGGAACACTGAGGTCGAGTGGTATGTACAACTTTCTCTTTTCTGAAACGAAGCCTACATATCTTCAGACGCAGTGGCACCTGTGATAATCTCGACCAGTTCTCCGGTAATAACCGCCTGTCGGGTTCTGTTGTACAAGATGGTGAACTTGCCGATCATGTCTCCGGCGTTCTTGGAGGCGTTCTGGAGGGCCAACGTCAGTATTGCCCCAACATCACGAATAGCATGTCTACTCACATCCATAGCATTCCGTCTGGCAGATTGTTCACAAGCATGTCCTTCCGCCAGAGCCCAGTAAAGAGAGTTGGCCAAAGAATATTCCCTCAAGTTGGCAAGCACCTCGTCATCAATTTCGAATGCGGCGAAATTGGGAGATTGGGTGATGGCCTCCTCTGAATACGCCTCGATGATCGTTGGCTCGTAGCTCTGAGCATTAACGAATTTGTTGTAAAGAATCTTGATACTCGCATACTCTTCTGGGAGCAAGACAAGTTGGTCGGCGATAGCCTGCGCATCGGCAAAGCTGGGAACGTCTTTGCCAATCCCAGCAAAGCTGAGCACGACATTCTTGGCATTGGAGCGACCAAGCTGAGCCTTGCACTTTTCGCCGACAATGGCGAGGTCGAGGCCAGAATCCCCTTCGAGCATGCGGCGAGTGGCGCGTGTGAGGCCGGAATGGATACCACCACAGAGACCTTTGTCCGAGCTGGCAATCACCAGCAGTGTCTTCTTCTCCTCCAAAGGCTTGGTCTCGGCCTCTTCAAACACCTGGTTGGACGTCTGGCCATAACGTCGGGAGTCGGTCATAGCCTTTTGAGCGCGGGTGAGCTTGGTCGAAGCAACGATCTTCATCGTCTTTGTGATTTTCTCGATATTGCGAATCGACTTCAGTCGGCCTGCAAGCGATTAGACACCGAAGCTCCCACGGATTCTGCGTCTCGTACCCTCGATTTCGCGTAGAGTGGCATAGCCGGCGACTTGGGGGGCAGCCGTCCTGTAAACCGGTTAGCACCAAGGCAAGCTCCTGAAGCCAGAGTCAATGGGGTCGAGCTCACCTTGCGACGGCAGCGTTGCCGGCCGCAAAGGCAGGTCGTACAGCTCTGGACAGCATCATGATGAAGACTGCTGGCCGCGGAGCTGTCAATGGGCGATGACGAGGGATGCAATGAAGAGAGGAGATTCGCTTGCGGTGCGTCAAACCTCCAAAACTGAGGTTCCGATGAGAGCTGGCTGATTGAGGCGCGCTAGGCTTATCTGGGTTAGTGTGTTTTCAGGCGCAGTCGAATCGTGGAATTTGACGGCGACTCCCTGCGAGTTCCATTTTGAGAGTTCAGTGAGTGGAACTCAGGCTCGGTTTGGCCTCACGAAACGGACACGACTGGCTGGCTGGCTGCTGCTCTTCCTCTCGGCTTCGCCCGTTCTTCACTTCTCTCTCTCTTCCACCACTTCTTGTGATTGTCTTCTCTCTACTTCAAGTCGCACTCCCGACGTTCCCCCATCACCTCCATTCGTGCACCTCACCTTCAGGACTGCTGTTACCTTTTAGTTCGGCCCATCATTCCGACTATCCGAGGCGCGTTCTGGAGGTCTCTTCGATCCTTTGCCTCGACCTCACGTTCCTCTCCTGCTATATTACGGTCCTGCCAACACATAACCCTTACTGGCGCCAAACAATCACGATACGTTTCGAACCTCTCACGTACCATGTCTTCTTCGGACGATGACATACCGCTCGCCGGCAAGAGGAAGTCAAATGGCACAAACGGAGGTATGCTCTCCTTGACACACACTTCTCATCTCCGCGGGGCAGGTGTGACTGTTTGCCTGCCTGACGCTTGAGTCATATCTACCTCTGGGTATCGTACGACTGACAATGCAAATAGTCGCACCGCATCTGTCTGCGGACAAAATCCCCTCCTCTGTCGATGCTACGTTGGATCGCCAAATTCCTTCCAATGGCACTGTCATGCCTGGTATCTCGATAGCACATGGCGAGGTCAAGATGGAAGATGCTTCGCCTTCAGACGCCAAGGGTGACCTCGTCAACGGCGCTGGAGCGGGAAAGAGGAAATTCAGGGAGAGCGTCACACGACCAGATTATGCCGACGCAGAAAGCAGTGATGATGATGTACCACTGGTACGCCATCCTGTCAAGCTGAATCCCTCTTTGCGAAAGATCACATGGGCTGATATGCATGCAGAGCAAAAAACGAAGGACGTCGACCGCTGTTGAGTCCGATTCAGACGATGCCCCGCTCATGGCCAAGGCAAAAACGAATGACAAAGTCGTCAAAATGCCTCCGCGACTCTCCGCCCATCAGATTGGTGAAGATTCTGACTCGGACGTACCTCTGGGCCAAAAACTCGCCAAGCAGAAACAGAAAATTGAGAAGGCTGCCGAAAAGGAGGCTAAGCAAATTCGAAAGGAGGAGAAACAGGAGAGTGCAAAAGCTCCCAAGAAAGCTGTATCCGCGAAAAGGGTGAAGAAGGAGGAGTCCAGTGATGACGAAAAGCCTCTGTCGAAGCGTGCACCCCCCAAGAAGGCCAAAGCCGAACCCGCTGGACCCGCCAAGAAGGTCAAGTCCGAACCCGGCTCAACCACCAAAAAGCCAACCGCCGCACCCAAAACCGTCAAGAAGGAAGAGAGTGCTGATCCTGATGACGAAGAGGACGAAGAAGAAGACATCAAATGGTGGGAGGATCCGACAAAAGGTGACGGCACGAACAAGTGGGAGACTCTACAGCATAGCGGTGTTGTCTTTCCTCCACCTTACAAGCCGCTACCGAAGAACGTCAAGATGAAGTATGATGGAGAACCCATAACACTTCACCCGGATGCCGAAGAAGTTGCCGGTTTCTTCGGCAGTATGCTCAACTCAACTCACAACGTCGAGAACCCAACCTTCCAGAAGAACTTCTTTCATGACTTCAAAGAGATTCTCAAGAAGACTGGCGGTGCCAAGAACAGAAATGGCGAGAAGGTGGAGATCAAGGAGTTTGCCAAGTGCGACTTCAGACCAATCTTCGAGCACTACGAGGCTGAGAGGGCAGCCAAGAAGGCAATGTCTAAAGAGGAGAAGAAGGCGCTCAAACAAGAAAAAGACGAAGCCGAGGCACCGTACATGTACTGCATATGGGATGGTAAAAAGCAAAAGGTGGGGAACTTTCGAGTCGAACCTCCTGGCCTGTTCCGTGGCCGCGGTGACCACCCCAAAACTGGCCACGTCAAGACCAGAGTCATGCCTGAACAGATCACCATCAACATTGGTAAGGAGGCAACGGTGCCTGTCCCACCCGAAGGACACAGCTGGAAGGAGATCAAGCACGACAAGCAAGGCACTTGGCTAGCTATGTGGCAAGAAAACATCAATGGCAACTACAAGTATGTCATGCTGGCTGCAAACTCGGACATCAAAGGTCAAAGTGATTACAAGAAGTTTGAAAAGGCTCGCGAGTTGAAAAAGCACATCGACCGCATTCGTAAGGACTACCAGAAAGATCTAAAGGCAGAACCGACCGTCGATCGCCAGCGGGCAACTGCCATGTACCTGATCGACCGATTTGCGCTGAGAGCGGGCAACGAGAAAGGGGACGATGAGGCTGACACCGTCGGTTGTTGTTCGTTGAAGTACGAGAACGTTACCCTACGCCCACCCAACGTTGTCATCTTTGACTTTTTGGGCAAGGACAGCATCCGCTTCCACGAAGAGTTCGAGGTAGATCCGCAAGTCTTCAAGAATTTGAAGATCTTCAAGAGGCCGCCCAAGCACGAAGGCGATGCTCTGTTCGACCGCCTGAGCACCAGCGCGCTCAACAAACATCTCAAAAGTTATATGGACGGGCTGACCGCAAAGGTTTTCCGTACGTACAACGCCTCGTACACCATGTCCAAACTGCTTTCGGAAATGAAGTCTGAAGGCTCTCTCGCCGAAAGAGTCAAGGACTACAATGATGCAAACCGAAGGGTCGCCATTCTCTGCAATCACAAGCGTACTGTGGGAGCCGGACATGCAGGTCAGATGGAAAAGCTGGGCGACCGGATCAAAGGTCTCAAGTACCAGCAATGGCGCATGAAGCAGATGATGATCGATGTGGACCCTAAGATCAAGAAGAAGAAGGGTGCCGAATACTTCGAACTGCCTGACGACATCGACGAAGCATGGATCCTGGAACATCAAGCTTACCTGGTTGAGCAGGAAAAGACCAAGATCACCAAGAAATTCGAGAAAGATAACGAGAAGCGCAAGGCTGACGGCGAGAAAGAGATGAAACATAAGGAGCTTGAGGAACGCCTCAAGGCCGCGACGGAGCTGGAGAAAAAGTTCAAGAAGGAAAACAAAACCAAGAAGGTCGAAGCCGAGGGCAAGTCTCCGTCGGTCGAGAAGTTCGAGGAGCAAATCAAGAAGCTGGACACCAGGATTGCCACCATGGCGATCCAGGCAGAGGACAAGGAGAACAATAAAGAGGTTGCATTGGGCACTTCGAAGATTGTAAGTTCTACGCAACCTTGTGATTCTACGTGGGGCCATCTACTGACTATCTAACGCGCAGAACTATATTGATCCGAGATTGACGGTCGTCTTCAGCAAAAAGTTCAACGTGCCCATCGAAAAGTTCTTCTCCAAGACGTTGCGGGAAAAGTTCGAGTGGGCTCTCAAATCCGTCGACGAGAACTGGACTTTCTAGGCAGACTTGTGTGCGGCCAGCAGGGGCGTTCACTCCTTACCCAAGTTCGGCCCCAAGCTCCAAGCTACCACCAAAACACCTCTGGCTTCACGGAAGATCTGCAATTCGACCAACGCAACAAGCCGCAATAAATTTCTCCAACGACTTTCAACTGCCATATGCATATGACCATTGATGAGACGACTTTACGCGGCACAATGATTAGACTCGAGCATCTGGCTGGCTGGCATGGGTGCCAGACTCTTGAGCAGGCGAATCAGGGCAGCCACGCCCGTGTGCTGCAAGTACAGTATCACTTCGAGGCTTGGGTGACTTCCCACAATCGAACACCGCTCTCGCTTCCTTCTGATTCAAATCACAATCGTTGTTTTTTGGAGACTTTGAAGAGCTCTCGACAGTGCACCTTCTGTCATCCAGCATCGCGAAGAAGGGCATGGCATGGCATGGCGTGGCGTGGCGTGGCATCTGGTAGCATCGGCAGGTAGCATTTGGCATGCATACATACATAACTACAGTAGGTTGTCTACCTTTAGCAAGAGCTAGCTAGAGAAAGCATCAGGGACGAGGGCGCAATCTACAGTATCTAGAGCTAGAACTAGAACTACCGCGCACGCACAGCATGAGCATTGAACTTATTCATTCATCATCCATCATAAATCCAGTCAATTCCTTGCCTTTCTTCTCTCACTCACTCAGTCACTCTCTCTATTGGAGTAATTGAGTATCATTGGGCTGAATCCTCTGTAATAACAAACTCTATCGCTGACGGAAAAGTTCTGGCTAGGGTTATTAAAAAGCATATCGGATTCAGAAATCTCATAGCTCAGCTAGAAAGGAAAACAAAAAAAGACACTATCTCGGGGCATCCAGCCCTGACTCTGATCTGTACAATTACCAACTTGGCCGGCATGACCTGTCCAGCCTGTACACACAGTACTGTCCTCTTCCCTTGGATCCTCACGACTCCTTTGCCCGCACCTCAGGTGAGATGCCTGCCTCAGGAGACCATGCTCGGCGTCGGCTGCGGGAGTAATCGTCAGGCGACAAAGTAGAGGGGACAGACCCATGGCACTGCCGCGGGAAGCCTTTGCTTGCTCATCAAGCCCAGGCCAGTCCAGTCCTTCCGTGCGCACTTGCTTCATTCTGCCCAGGTCATCCAGCCCTTGCCGCACCCCTTCCACCGCCCCCCCCCCCCCCAACCCGGGGGCGTCAATCCCTTTCCCCCTTCCTTTGCTTCCGATCCTTGCGATGCATAAAACAATTTGTTCAGAACACGACTAGAAAAGCAAGAGCGCAGAGATGCATAAGAAGATTCGTCAGAGTGGTTCGTTCAACGATTGTCGTTAATGAGAAAGTGAGTGGGAAAGTTAAACGATAGGTGACCTTCAAAGATGTAAGGTTCAGTCGATGAACCAGAAGTGAAACATATGCCGTCCTTCGTCTTGTGCGCGTGCACGTCGGTCGTTCTGGTTTGCCGAATGTGTGTCCTCCATTGTTTCCGCTGTGCAAAGTATCAAATATCCTCCTGAAATCCCCCTCCCCGTGCTGTGGTTGTTATTGCTTGCGCTTTCCAATGTTCCTTTTCACTGTGAGGTGAACCGTGGACTCTAAGAACTGTGGAGGTGGTTGGTAGTGCGTCTCGAGAAGCATGGCCGGTGCAAGCGGTGAAACCATGCCGCGAGGGCACCCAGATCGCGGCTGGCTTCTTCGGCATCGCGTCGAAAGGTGGCGCATTGAGCGGAAAGTCAAGGTTGAGATCTTCCCGACGGCTGAATAAGAGACGCGTAATCGCACCTCGCAGCTGGGACAAGAGGCAATCGGAAACGACAGTCGTGATCGAAATGGCTCTGGTATCTCGAATGAACTCCCTTCCCTGTAGCAGACTGGCCGACATGTAGGGAGAGTGCGAGAGACCGCCCTGCAGAGACAATTGTGTGGGCAGAAGAATCAGTGGTCGTCAGCATGCGACGGTAGTTGGCGTGTCCTGGCGTGAGCCCGTCTCTCTGTAATGTTCAATGTTGCAGGACAAAAGAAAAGTGAGGATAAACCAGAGGACTATTCCAGCAAGACCAGCAAGCCCGAGTGAAATCGAAAAGAGCCCCCAGCCCCGACTCGACCATGACCCCTTCCCCGTCATCAGGCCAAAGACAACGCTTGCTAAACTGGCAATTCCTCGGTATGCAGAGACAAAGGAAACGCAGGCAAAAGAACGTCAATGCGAAATGGAGGTCCAGGCTCAGCCGGTATCCTCCTCGCCATCATCGTCATCGTCGTCTTCTGCGCTTTCGCTGGCGACCTTCGACCTCTTACTGGGGGTCTCGTTGTTGCTGGCCCCAGCCTTTCTCTTCGTACCCGACGTCGCCTTGTCGGGTTTATTGGTCACTGGGGTACCGTTCTCACCCCCTTCGCCTTTCTCTAGAGCAGCTACTTCGTCTGCAGTCAAGAATCGACCACCGGGACCACGGGGTCTGCGCATAGCATGGTTATGTCTTGACTCGTGCAGATAAGGTTTCCGCCCCTTGGAGGTAAGTCGGAGCTGCTCCTCAAGCTTCTGTCGGGCAACGCGCCGTTTGAGGATGCGATGAAACTGCTTCGCATTGACATAGAGGGGAGACTCCTCAGCTCCTCCTCCAGATATCTCCTCTTGTGCCTGAACAGGCTGCTGCGGCGGAGGCATGGCGGGTGGAACAGACTGTCGAGGCAAGGTATGGTTCATGGCAGGCTGAGACACCTGGCCATGAGGGCTCGTAATATGCTGGCTCATGCGCCTTTGCGCATTCATCTGCCCTGCCTGAGGCATGCTTACAGTCGATGGGAGAGGCGGCATTTGCCCTACAGAATTGAAGTCAGCTGATGGATGTTCCCCAATTGGCGCAGAAGGCGGCGTATACTGACCGGATGCCGCTGCTGTGGCCATAGCCGCAGCCTGAGTGGGCGATATGCCATAACCTTGTGACAGTCCCGCATTGACACCATACTGAGGATAGCCCATTGATTGATGGACTCCGGCGGCCGGTTGAGGTTGGTAGTGGTTCTGGGTCTGCGAAGGTAGGATAGGAGACGCTTGGTTCGGATTGTGTTGTTGCATGTGCGATTGAGGACCCGATGGCGACTGGAGAGACCCGGGGCCAGCGCTCTGTGGCGACGTCTGATAGCCTCCCTGCAAATGAGGATGTTGAGTATGCTGCTGATACTGCGGCGGGTACTCCATGATGAACACGGATCAGAATGATGCTTGAATGGCTCGTTCTGATACTTGAGTGCAGGGCTGCAGAAGAAAGGTTCTCGGCCCGTGTAGAATGACTAAATGCTCGCCTCAGGTGTCGCGCGTACGGGAAGACGCAGGCTTCCAAAGCTAAGCTGGGCAGCCAACAGGTCCAGAGAGGCGTAAAGGTGATAGCTGGATAGCTGAGACGCGCTCTTGGGGCCGCTGTGCCTTGAAATGTTGCCGTGAAGGCAGCCCGACTCTCTGATAGGAGGGCCTAGCAGCGGCAAGTTGGAGCCTGGTCCCTTGCGTTAGTTGCTAGCGCAGCTCCTGCCAGTCACTGGATCACTCACCTAATCGTTGGGAGCGCAGGTGATGGAGACTTGCTCTCGAGGTGTTAAAAGTGGTCTGCACCCAGCGGTCCACTCACTATATTGACGAAAGACAAGGTCAACAAATGAGGCGGGTGAAGTCCAGGATGGCCGGCTGAGTTCGCCTCAGATTGGGCTTCGGTGCAGGAAAGCTGGGGTCTAGCGCTTTGATGAGTTGTCACTTCTGCTCGAGGCACGACGAGTGTGGCGCGGGACGGATGACGATGCGTGGCCCAGACGTCACGCTGTCGCCGTGGATTCCAGCTCTTGCCTCACTCCCGCGACCGCGATGGCTGTTGTTGTCGTCGACCCGTTCCGGCAGTGCTCCAGCTTTCCAGAAGCTTGGACAGGACGCGCCGCGCAGTCTGGATTGGATTGTTGGAATCGCGGCGACCGCGAGGAATGATTCGAGGGCGCGCGGAAGGAAGGTAAGCGGCGATTCGATTGCTAGATTGCCAGACTACGTGCTGAGGACACCACGGGTCAGTATTGGCTCTGGTAGAGCGCAGCAGCGATTATTGGAGGACGGGGCTGGGTGGGAATGGTTATGTAGCAATCGATTGGAGAGTGCGCCTGCAGTGATGTGTTGGCACGTCCATGCAGCTCACCTCTTAGTCTCCGTGTCCCACAGTCAAGGCACTCCCGATGCTGGGCAGCTGGGATTCTATTCCTGTATGAATGATGAAATACCCGGTCTCGTTTGCGGAGGAGTTTGCGATTTGTTCCGTTTCTGGACCAGCCGCGGTTGCTGCCCAAAACGTGATGCGACAGCCGCTGGAGTTGGGGTTGCTGCCCACAATGAAGCTGTCAGGTTCTACAAATCTGAACGCGCCGGGCGCAACTATTCGTGCGCGACGTCGACGACGACGATGATCTAGGCAGCACTTGACGCGTCGTTGCTGACGGCGACGGTGAACTCAAGATCAAAAAATGCTGGTTGTGTTGCAAGCGCTGCGCTGATGACGGCAGTGCACTGCTGGAGGCGGGAAAACGATGGAGTTGGGTTTGGGGGTACGGAATGGCGGTCGGTCCGTCAAAGATCGGTGATGGATGTCAGGCGAGTTGTGTTTTGTGTTGCAGTGGTGATGGAAGATTGCCAGCGGTGAGGGCGGGTCGTTTCCCGCGGTGAGTAGATGGGGGAGTAGTAGTAGCAGCAGTAGTAGCGTCCTTCGCAAGAGTGGGCGGGCTTGCAGATTGCAGAGCTGGCTGGAGTGACGGGGGTGATGGCTGTCGGGCTGATGGATGGCTTGCTTGCTCGCTTTGCTTCGGGCTGATGAGATCACAGCTCGGCAGGCGCACAATCCTCGGTATCGCGCGGTTCTGCTCGTCGCTGTTTGATATGTTTGAGATGCCTGGATGCGCGCAAGGCTCTACAGCTATACTCGACGCTGAATGATGATAGGTGGTTGTTGTTTACCAGGAACGTGGATCGTGGAGAGGCCAGTCGAATCAAAATGTGATGCGGTGAACCAGTGACGACCGGCGACGAGTGTAGGCTCAGAGCCGCCTGGCCCTGGGGTTGGTTCGGTCTTTTCTCTGATCACTTGTCGCGCTCTCTTGTGACACGCCAGCCGGGCTCGGGGACCCACGTGAAAAGACAGGTCTGATGTCTTGCGTGTTGCGTGCTGCCGTAGCGAGAAACGGTATTTTTTGAAGTGATGAGTGGCCGAAGGACGAGCGCAACCTGGGTTTGATTGGGTGCAGCCTGGACGTGAAACGAGGGCTATTGGGCGATAAAGAGGGAGGGAAGAAGAGGAGAGAATATTGGCTGGAGGGCGGAAAGTGGGAGACCGTGCAGGCTGCTGATCTGCCAGCCCGGCACTCGTCGGCATCGGCGACCTGCAAAAACTCTGTTCGGTAGTGGCACACCAGCCCCGCTTTTCTTTCGCTTGCAATGTCTGGTTGAGGCAGGAGCCAACCACCATTTCATCTCGTGACCATGCTGATCCACTTGCTCACCATTCCTCTCTGGGCCTTTGGACCGCACATGCAATTTTGAGCGGCGCAGCATTGGGTATTACTGCCGACGAGCGCACGAGAACTCGATGTACGTTCTACCAGCTACGAGTGTACAGGACGATGGACGTGGCTGAGGGAGGTCTGTGGATGATCTCTGGCAGTACGGAGTACTGGGTAGGCAATCGTCATCAAAGTTGCTGTGCTGCCGAGCGCGCTGCCTCCAGGGCTGACGTGGTGAGCACGCAGAAGGAATGCGGCGTCATGTGACCGCCCTCAATCCGGTGCCCGTTCCTGGTCCGCGACGCTGCCTCTTTCACCCGGATCTGAACCAGCCACCCTCATTATGCAACAGGACGCCTGGCACCAGAGCGCTCAACGCAACTCTCTCGCCCGCGTCTCATGTGTCAGCACCCAGCGTCGCATGCATCACGTCGCTTAACACGCCAGTATGACGTGCCGAAAGGCCAAATGGACACAGTCTCCGCTCCTCGCCCAATCCGGTTATCCTGACCCGCTGTACGTAGTATGCTCTGCCGTGTGTACTAATTACCCTAGCTGGTACGGAGTACTTTGGACGGAGTACGGAGTACGAGGAGACAGGCCGCCGCCCATGCTTGGGATTGACGCGCTTCCTCAGACCCCTTCTCCGAGACGACCGCTACGCCGCAAACTGCTGGGAGCCTGCTTGAGACCATACCAGTCTGCCTCGAAGGGTTCGTTGAGGCCCAATCAGCTCCTCTCGGTTCGTGAAATATCTCAGGTTCACCAATCAGACACTCGTTCAGTCATAATTCTCGCAACTTGCTGCGGCCTACTTTCTTCGTCTTGCCCAATCAAACCCACTAACCGCCTCATTTTGTCTTCCGAATATTTGATTCGTTCTCAGACCCGAAATTCAACGTTTTCCTTCACTCTGCTAAGCATCAGGAGACATCTTGCTCCGAGCAGGACGGGATGTCTAGAGCTCCCGCCAGACCGGATCCATGCGACAGCTGAGATGAAGCCCCGGGTGGACTGCATCAGCCGAGGACGTGGAGAGAGGCCGCAAAATCACATGCTCGAATGCACATCTCCGAACCAAATCCATGGCCTGTGAAGCATTCAGGCTGTGTCTACTATGTATATGCATGTGGTCGTAACTTTCTGACCGAGTCAAGTGCGCCTTCGCGTGATCTCGTCGTGTTGTGTCTCCGGTGCACGTTCTATGCTCCTGCATGCGATATCGATAAGGCTCCCCTTCAAGGCCATATCAAACCATCAAACCGTCTTCCCTTTCAAGTGGTCGTGCTTAGTCGCTCAATACAGCCCTCAACATGGCCAAGAACGGCTCCCTCAATTTCAGAATCTCGCTGACCTCGGGCTTGACCGGCTCACCTGCGCTCCTTCTGAGTCTGTCTTGAGCCTTCTTCCGACGGCGGCGCTCTGCGGAGATTGGGTCGAGATCATCTTCTGCGGATTCTTCTTCAGAGTCGATTTCATCTTCTTCATCCGAGATGCGGAGGTCCATCAGATCACCCTAAGCACAAGTCAGTCTATAAAAGCGTCCACATCTCGGAGATATATTTTGAAGCAACGACGGGAGGTTGCTACTCACCTCATGTAGCCCGAAGTCGCTGCTCTTAAAGTTAGTCCCAGGCATCCCGGTTGAATCTTCTGACAGACTCGTCCCCTCCGCCGCCATCTTCTGCCTTGTTTTGTCACTGTGCCACTTTTTCCTCGCCGCCTGCCACGCGACCAGCTCGTCAACCTCCCGAATGACGGTTTCCCGATCCACAGTGCCCATATCTAGCGCTCCTTGGAGAATGGCGTTCATATCCAGCTTGCCACCAGATCTGGGTCCCTTGCGGAGAAACTCGAGGATACCTTCAATCCAGGCCATCAATGCAGTGAAGAGGCCGTTATCGTGCGTATGAACTTCGTGGATGAATTTGTACAAGTTGTGTTGATGTCGAGCACAGAGATCGATGAATGATTGTACTGTTTGGTTTGGATCTGCAGAGACGTCTTGTCTTTGGGCAATCTCAACTGTCTTAATGGTGTCGTCGGCAAATACTGCAAAGTCTGTAATGCTGCTGTACACGTTGGCCGACTTGTAAACTCGCACGAGGGGCTCGTAGAATATCGTGAAGAGGTCACGGAATAGTTGTAAGGTGTTGGGCTCTTCGATCATGGCAGCCATCATGGCCTTGTCGCGTTGGCGTGTCAGTAACTTGAGAAGTTGTTTGAGGTGGGAGAACATCTCCGCGCCTTGCTGGAGTTCTTCGTCGTCGTTCTCTACTGCGCTGTTCCAAGCGACCCAAGCATTGTAGACGCGCTGGATTTGGGGTGGCGTGAGTTCTGGTTGGAACTGCTCCGATCGAAGAATGGCGACAACAACGTCGACTTCCTCCTTCTGCGCCTCGGTCCGGACGGCAGCTTTGGTCTCTTCGGGACTGTCAACGAAAGCCCTGATCTTGTTCGTCAGTACCGGGTCTCCCACTTTGGCGATCATATCGTCAATGGGCTTTTGGAATTGCCGTATCCCATCATTGAGGGTCTGTGAGAATATGCGTTGCAGTAACGACCTCGTACCGAATGGCTGAGCAAGGAACAGATCCAGAACGGCCGACATGACTGCAGCGGGATTCGCTATCCGTATCGCATTCTTCAGTACTGTATATGGCACCAGAGAATGGA